AAAAAAATGGATAATATATTCAAAAAGTATAGTGATTTTCTTATTGTTTATATTGATGATATACTAATATGTTCTAATAATAAAAAAGAACATAGGGATCATTTATTACAATTCATAAATGAATGCAAAAAGGAAGGAATAGTACTCTCTAAAAAGAAATCTATAATAAAGAAACAAGAAATAGATTTTTTTAGGATTATCAATAGATAGAAAAGGAATAAAATTACAAAGTCACATTTCTAAAAAGATAGAAAGCTTTCCAGATGAATTAAAATCCAAAGAACAAATACAAAAATTTTTAGGATGTTAAAACTATGCCGAAGGTTTTATTGAAAATCTCTCGAAGAAGAGACATAAGATACAAATCCTACTTAGAAAAACAAATACTAAAGGTTGGAATAAAGAACATACTGAAATTGTTAAATCATTAAAAGAAGAATGTAAAAATTTACCAAAATTAAGATTACCAGATGAAAAGGATAATCTAATTGTCAATACTGATGCCTCGGATAAATATTGGGCAGCTATATTAAAAACAGATTTAAATGAAATATGCAGATATTCAAGTGGAACTTTTAACCAAGCAGAAATAAATTATACTACCCATGAGAAAGAATTGTTAGCAATTATTAGAGGAATAAAAAAGTTTTCATTATTTCTTTTATCTAAAAAATTCATTGTTGAAACTGATAATTCTCAAGTTGCAGGTCTTATTAGAAATAAGTTACCTATGGAACCTCAATATAGAAGGTTACACAGATGGCAAGCATATTTATCATTCTACAATTTTGATATTGTTCATATTAAAGGAATAAATAATTATCTTGCAGATTTTTTGAGCAGGAACATCGAATTTGGAGATGGATAATATCAAAAATTTATTAATAGACGTCAACAGACGAATGAAGTTCCTCATGGAAGAATCTGAAGATATGAAAATTGGAATTGAGCAATCAGAAGAAATGGCAGAATCTATCCAACAAAATGTCAAATTGTTGGTGGAAATCTCTAATTCTCATTCCAAATATACCAAAGAATTGAATGACAGAATTGTTGATATTACTTCACAATTCGAGTCATTAGATACCAAACAGGAAATGCCAATTGATACAATCTCAAAAATACAAACAGGTACACAGCCAGGAAGCAGCAGTGGACCCAGCAATATCAAAAGAGACATATCAAGTCCCCGGAAGGTGACTATAAAAAATAGTGATGAGCATACAAGAGTTATAAGAATCAAAACTGATGAAGATGATGATACCCCTTTGTCATCAAAAGAAGAAGAATATAGATCATTGCCAAAATTGTTTATGAATTGGAAGAAAATGAATCTTATTTTATTTCATCAGGGGATCATGTTTATCCAAGATTAATAATTACCAAAGATGCAGACCCTTTCATGGTCAAAATGGCAGCAGATTATGGATTACTGGATTTGATCTATCCAGGAAAAGATTTAAAAGAAATTGAAAAATTTGATGATATATTCAGAGCAGAAGTTTCAAAATTTGCCCAAGGGAGATCGATATATATCAAATTTTATTCAATTAGTCCCGAAGTTGATGGAAGGATATATTATCCTGCTGAACATATCATTACAATTGGATATGTTGGCCGAGATTTCCAGATTGAAGTTGGCCGAAATAATAAACCATTGCCAAAAATCAATAGATCATGGATAAAATCCCGGAGAGTTTTGGGGATGAAAGTTCTTTACAACATTGCATAGAACTTATATGATAAAAAATTCAGATGCTTGTGCCAATATGAAGGATGAACCCTCCTTACAAATAATGGAAAAGAAAAATCTACAATTTTGAAGGAATATATCTTAAAATTTGATATTCATCAAATTAGTGGAAGTCCAACAACAATCCAAGAATCATGCAGATTGAGGGAGTGCCCCACATGTAGACAAAATTGAAGGATTGATAAATGGAAAAGGACCTACCACTACCAAAGCATCTAGCCAGCTGCAAATAAAGCCAAAGATGGAGAAGCAATAATAAAAAAGCATCTAGCCAGCTGCATATGGAGCCAAAGATGATAAGGCAATAATAGAAGAAAGGAGGTCCCTTTGATGAAAATTCAAAGAATGCATGTGAAAATGTAGACCCCAGGAGGAAAAGAATAGAGAGGCATGTGAGCCTTTTTTCCAAAATCTGATGTATGCAATGATATAATAGATCAATAATAGTGAGTTTGAATCATGTATAAATAGAGGTATTTGGGAAAGAATGGATCATCTCGAGTTAGAAACCATTCTCTTTCCTTAAGCTTTTTTCAAAACCAGTTTTTCTGGAAACCCCTTGTATACAATAAAAATCTTGTATAAATCATTATAAAAATAAAATCTCAATCTTTTGATATCAGAAAGATATAAGTTTCTAAACTTTCTATCCTATAGATTCTTGATAGATTGAAGAAGATAATCTCTTTCTTACTTTAACAAAGAGAGAATTTTCTTTACTTAAGATCTTTATTCTTAATTCTAAGAAAAGATACAGTGAGGGCAAGAAGCTGAAATAGCAGAATTCCCATTGAGGCAAGAGGCCGTTTAAGGGAGCAGTTTGCAGATTCAGAGCCTGAAGGTCACTCGGTTCTAAGAATACAGATTTAAGATCAAAAGTAAGGTAAAATTATTGTCTTTGTTAAATTTAGAAAGAATTCTTCTAATATCTTGAAAGAATCGTAGGAATTATTACTGTTCATGTTTGCAAAAAACTTATCTAAATATGTTATTATTTATAAAGTTTGCAAGGAATTATTTGAATAATGCCAGGTTATACAATTAAAGGATTAGATAATCTGTTAGATAGATTAATGGACAAAATAGAAAATATTTATTCTCAATTAGAGATTATGGATATATTATCGAAGGAATTTGATAATCTTAGTAAATTACATGACAATTATATTACAGATTATGCTAATTTATTAGATCAAAGGATGAAATTATATATTAAAACTCAAAATGAGAGAAATAGAGAAATTTAAAACTATCCCAATAAATTAAGGATATCTTGTACAATATATGATAAATTATTTCATTAAGGATATAATAGACATTTTATCAAAAATGAATAGTAACAAGTCATTTATAATAATGCCCCCTTAATATAAGATGAGTATCAACACTCTTTATTAACTCAAGTTTTTACATCTGTAAAAGATTATTGCCCCATTTGATACCTATTTTTTTCAAAATATATTTTTATCTCTCTCTTTTTCAATCACACATTTTTTATTAAAATAATATTACACGTAAATAAATTTTTTTTACTTATTTTTCAACTACACATTTTCTATCAATTTACCTTTCTAAAATACATTTTTACAATAAAATGGATATCAAACACTCCGTCTATATATTACAAGATCGTTGATGTAATAACCACCGGATAATAGTGATATGTTGCAACCAAGCGCATTTCTCTCACTGCTATTTCTATTGGCGGCGTCGGCGGCGGCGCACGGCGGAGACTACAACAGAGCAGACTTTCCGGCTGATTTTGTTTTCGGTTCTGGAACCTCCGCTTATCAAGTCGGTTTCACTGTTTTGGTTCGGATGATCCGAACTCTTCAATCTTCATCATTAGTTGGCTAATTAATAACGAAAGTGAATAAAAAATAGCATGATATTCGTCAACCTTTCTCCAAAATAACTTGAAGTTCGATAATTGTGATCCTAGCACGATTTAATATAAATGATAATTTTATTGAAAATTTTTGTTTCATTTTTAGAAAATCCTGTTTATTATTCAGGTATTTGTCTGGCTCTAAATGTTAATTCGATTCAAAGAATATGTTTGATTAAATTGTTTTTATGGTGTAGGAGAGACGAGAGAACAAGGCAATCAATTTTCGTTTCCTTTTTTTTTGTTCCTAAACTCGCAAAATTCTAAATCCTAACTCCACTCTTGAAACTTTGCACGAATGAACACAATCGATGAATACTAGTACGAGGGAGCAGCATTTGAGGATGGAAGGACTCCCAGCATTTGGGATACTTATGCTTATTCTGGTCTGTGCTTAAACTTATGCTCTTTATCTTTTAATCACATCTCATTTGTAGTGTTTTTTTCCTACTTTGCTCAAAATGAAGTATGACAATGTACTAAAACCTGTCTTTTAATTCAATCTAGTGATTAGACTTACACCATGATATTAATCATTTCTCCGTAATTCGCATAATGTCTTGCTATACTACAAAAACTTCAGGTCATAGCGGTGGAGCCACCGGAGATGTAGCATGTGACGGATATCACAAATACAAGGTGCATAAACAGTTGAGAAGTCTAATTTTGAGCTTAGTTTTTGTACCCCTTCACATTTTTTCGTTTCTCTTCTTTGACGTAAAAATTAGGTTCTGCAGTAATATGGAATTGTTCCTTTGGATATGGATTTGGGGATTGCAATATCTTTCTTACTTAATCAGATCAATGGATGTAGTTTAGTGACGCAAAATCTAGCATTCTTTAAGGGAATGCTCTGATCACTGGTTGTAGTTTAATGATGCAAAATCTAGTATTCTTCGAGGAAATGCACCCTTCCTATATATTTAGATTAATTTTGAGGCTTATAGTTAACTCTTCACTCTTTTTATTTTATTGTTTGGACATTGTTATGAACTAAAGGTTTCAATATTTTGCCTTTAATCACACAAACTCCAATCTTGTAGTCGTGGAAGAGTCTGAGAAAACTATGCGTGCTATATCTTTCAGGAAGATATCGGGCTAATGTTGGACATGCATTTGGAGGCCTTCAGATTGTCGATATCATGGTCAAGGCTTATTCCTAGTATGATCACCTGCATCATGCTATACAAGAAACCTGCATATTTTTCGTACTTTTAACTCACATCAATGATGTCTACTGTCTTTTCAGACGGAAGAGGACCTATCAACCCCAAGGGGCTAGAATACTACAATAATCTCATTGATGAACTTATAAGCCATGGTGACAACTGCACTTCCTATGAAATATATATTTTCACTTGTAAATAGCAAGTGAAGAAATTACTAGAACAAAAATGATATTCAATAGTCCATTAGAGATCTATCCATAGAGCTTCCATCAATATAATTTTGTAATCGTACAGGAATCCAACCGCATGTTACATTACATCATATGGATTTACCGCAGGCACTCGACGACGAGTATGGGGGATGGCTTAGTCTAAAAATTGTGTAAGTGTTTTATAACGTTATCATAATATATAAACATCTTGAACTAGTTTAGCTTAACCTATAGAACTTAGTGTGAAGAAACTTGTCTGCTTGTGACTGCAGGAAGGACTTTGTGGTGTACGCAGACACATGCTTTAGGGAATTCGGTGACAGAGTTTTGTACTGGACAACCATTAACGAGGCCAATATATTTTCTGTGGGAGGTTACGATGAAGGAAGCTCTCCCCCAGGACACTGTTCACTACCTGTCCAAAATAATTGTTCCAAGGGTAACTCCTCAATTGAGCCGTACATCGTGGGACATAATATCTTACTTGCACATTCAGCTGCTGTGAAACTGTACAAGAAGAAATACAAGGTATTTTTTTCTCTGTTCTTTTCTCTGTTGAAGATTTTTTATTAAAACCTACTTCTTCAAGGTTATGATATGTTTTAAATTTAATGCAGTCCACTCAAAATGGTTTCGTGGGATTTAACATCTATAGTTTTTGGTTTGTTCCTTATACAAATTCAACAGAAGATGTGATTGCAACTCAAAGAGCTAAAGATTTTTACATTGGTTGGTAAGTTGCAGAACTTGGTTAGATAAGTTTACTTTCTATTCATATTCAAGATAATTGCACCTGTCCACAATCTATTGCTCGGGTAGTAAGTTGGTCACCACTCACAACCTTTCTTTGTAGCTGTGTACTCCAAGTTCATGTTAAATAATCACTTACCCCCCTTACTTTTCCAACTTTATGGAGGTAGGTTTTGTTTACTTGTTCTAGTGCCAGATATTTAAAATGATGAAAATCAAACTGTTTCAATCATTCTGGATTATTTGTGCACCAAATCTATAAGGTTGGAGATCAAAATTCTCAATCTTAAAGGTTAAGGACCAAGTTTTTACAAGTTCTATAGACCAATCAAAATTCTCAATCTTAAAGGTCAAGGACCAAGTTTTTACAAGTTCTATAGACCAATAGTGCAATGTTCCTTCTTCTATGAATCCCCAGTGGTCTGACAATTAGCAAATTTAACATATGAAAACATTTTTCATTTGTAGTCTTGAAGTTAATTGTTCTAATAGCCACTGTACTTAGATTTATGTCTTTAATTGGTCACCGAAGTTTAAAATGTCGAGTTTTAATCTGAACTTAGGTTAATGTCTTTGATTGTTCACTAAAGTTTAAAATGTCAAGTTTTGGCCACCGAACTTTGAAAAATGTTGTACATTACTTACTATAAATTTGATATTTTCAAAGTTCAACATTTATACTAGTAAGTAATGTATTTATTCAAAGTTCAGTGGCCCAAACTTGATATTTTAAATTTTTGTGAGCAATTGAAGACGTGTATCGAAATTTAATACTCAAAACTCGACATTTCAAACTGCAGTGACCAATCAAAGACATGGACTCAAGTTCAGTGACCATTGGACAATTAATTCGTAGTCTTGCAAGGCATACCTATGTCTAATATTTGCTGCAGGTTAGTTGATCCCCTTATCTATGGAGACTATCCTGAGAGTGTAAAGAAAAATGTCGGGAAGAGACTTCCAGCCTTCACCAAATATGAGTCTGAGCAAATCAAGGGATCAATCGACTTTATAGGAGTGAACCACTATACAACATTATACATCAAGGACAATCCCGGCAACCTCCAAATCGATAACAGGGATTTTGATACTGACATAGCAATAGAGATTAAATGTGTGGCAACTATTTTTCACTACTCATTATTCTATTCCTCCCGTTCTTACAGTTCATTTGCTAAGTATTTTAGTTTTGCTTCAGTGATCAATCAGCATTCTTTCATTGAGATAACACTGTTCCATGGATAAAAGTACACTAACTTATCCTTTACTTGGGTCTGCAGATAGTCAGGGCAAAGAAATACCGGATCAGGTGAAATCTGAAATATAATTTCATGGTTTTGGTTTAATTTACTGGATATTCAAACACTTCTATTTGGTACAGTATCCAATTATGCCTCAGGGTCTTTATGGAGTGCTCGAGTATCTAAAACAAGCTTATGGCGATATACCAGTTTATGTCCATGAAAATGGTCTCTCTCTCTCTCTCTCTCTACATGTGTACACAAGAGCACACATTGTTTGCAGAGATAATATGCTCATTTCTATGTGGCGTTAATTTCTTTCTGTTTAAGATTGCTTCGGTGGTTATTCAGATTATGCTATTCCTTCATTTCTATGCGCTCATTTCTGTTCTTCCCTTGAGTGAGGGGTACAGTATCAAATCCGTAGAACTGCTAGAAAAATACAAAAGAAGGTAACCTCATAATTACCATAATAAAGCAGTCAACTCGAAGGACGCAGAGTAATGAGTGCTTTAACATTAGGGCACTTTTAATGCTTTACTTACTTTAGTATAATCCAACATACAAAACAAGCTATATTTAAAGTGTTCATTGATACAAAGGGGTTTCTTGTAGTTCTTTTATAAACCCTAATGAATGCTAAGGGGTCGAGGATCAACAACAACTACAATCGAAATCAAAACTATATACTTTTTTGGCAAGGAAATCTGCACAGGTTGTGATTTTTGCATTCTATCTTGCTTAAGTTTATATACTAGAGTTATGCTACTTTTTATCAGGGGCGGAGCTAGGATTAAACTTTAGGATGAGCTACTAGTATGAATTTTATAAGCATCGATAGTTAGAGAAAATTATATTTATTTAAAAGTAAACACATATCTAGTTATGTGAACATAGTGAATCTTAACCCTTAATATGTGTAAACTAATATAATACATTAACTTGAGGACGAAAATGTATATAAAAAACACATCCAGGTACTCAGATTTGATCTTAATGAGAACAAAATTGACCGAGTTGGTTGTAATTGAACTAATTCTTCTGACTCCGGCTTAATTCAATTGGTTTTTGAAGGGAAAAAAACCCACCTTTATACAACTCATTATAGATATTCTTCGAGGCTTAAAACTCAAAATTTTTAGTATAAATATCCTCCATAATTTAAATTCTAAAAGGTGGAAAAAAAAAATCAATAATCCAACAATTCAAAAATAATTGACAATCCAACTACAAATTCAACAATTCAACCTAATTAAACTAATACAACAATAAACAATGAGCTGACTCAGATTATGGAAAAGACCCAATGAGTACAATACATTGATATTATTTGAAACAGATCCCTTGAATTCCCACTAAAGAGCCAGCAACGTTAAAGCCATTCCCAGGCATTTCTTTTGGGCTGGGACAAGACTGGGCCTGCTTTTTGTTCAATGTAGTTTTTGTTATTTTAAATTGAGATGACAATTTTCTCAGAAAATTCATGTCTTGGATTGGTTTGACAGGCCAGGTGGCACGACGCAATGGAACACTTTATGACAAATCGCGGGTGGAATACATGCATGCTTACATCGGGAGCATGCTTGATGCTATAAGGTAAGCTTTTTTAGTTTCAACTCAGGTTCCTAAGGTACAGTAATTAAGAATTCATCTGAAATTTTTCCTAAATTTTTTATTTTCTAAACTTAAGGTTGAATGTCAAGACTTTAGCTTGGTTTTCAAAAGGATATTCTAAACATTGTTGTAAAATCAACACGCTCTTGTTTGCAAACAACTGCTCTGATCATTAGAGTGCTTGAAATTTTTATCATTGCTTTCAATTGGTACACGATAAAATGGGAAGTTGCCATAACAAGATGTAAACATGGTTGTTTGAAATCTTCTTTGTTTAATCCTTTAGTTACTGTGTCTTGCACGAGTAAAATATTAAAAACTTAAAGACAGTAGAGTAGGTAGTGAATTATCCACTACAGTTGCAATTTTCTAAGTTCAATTCCACCGTGATTTCTCTAAATTTATTGATATCACCATCATGGTATTCTTTTTATTTCTTTCTTTCTTTTATTTTCTGAATAAGATAATCTCCTTTTTTAGTTTCTTATTCTATTCTTATATTTCTTATGTTTTGATTTGCATATTGGATGGCTGAAGGAATGGATCAAACACGAGGGGATATTTCCAATGGACCTTCTTAGATTGTTTTGAGTTGTTGGGTGGCTATTGGCCATCGTTCGGTCTTTACTACGTTGATTTGGATGACAAAAATCTAACGAGATATCCCAAACTTTCTGCACATTGGTACTCAAATTTCTTGAAACGGAAAATCGCAAGCTCAAATGCAATTACTGAAGTTGGGTATAATACTATTGTTCCACGAACAAGTTAAGTTCTCATTTTTATTTCATCTACTAGAGGTCAAGCTTGATATCTCGCTCCTGCATTTGTACTTGTATCGTATCCTCTTTATTATGTAAAATGAAGACAATAAACACATCAAATGGAAGACGTATCATAGGTATGCACGTATGTCCATATATTGTATTTATAATCATACATTCGTACTAGGTGAGTACATGTTGGGCAATGCTATTCTCTTAAATCTCATAGTTTTTTCTCTAGTGACAAGGGTATAAATCTTCTTTCATCGAGCTCCAAATGTTATTCTCTTGCTTTTTTCTAATTCACCCATGATTTTAAAAGCATTTCAAAATTTAGTATTTAGAGACCTTTTGGCAAGCTCCTGCTTTTAAAACCTCCTCTACCTTGACAAAGCACTTCCAAAAAAAATAAAAATAAAAATAAAAATTAATAATAAAATAAATAAATTATCCAACTATGTTCAAAAGTAACTTCTTAAATCTAGAGGTATATTTGGACTTTTTAAAAGCCCGGTCAAATTGATCCTTAATAATATTGGTAACAGCGGGTGTCTGTATAGTTTCTATTAGACTAATTCACATAAAAGTAAGTCATTGCCGAAGGTCTAAAACATGATTTGTAGTCAACCCGATGATCCACACAAGTTGACTAGCACATTAAGGCAGTTATAAATTATCTTATGCATGAAGATTAATAAATGTAAGAACATATGCCAACTAGTTTATTAAATTCTACATCCAGTACGAGGAGGATAAAGAGACAATAATACTAGTATTTGAGTAAAAGGCAATTAGAATTTCAAACATCGACGAAAGGGGCAAAATTACAGGAGCTTGAACATGGATACAATTGAACTACAGTGTAGCTTTAATGCACCTACATTATTTATTCACTGAACGATAAGTAGATTAGTTCTTGATCTTCGGCTTCTTCACTATCATCACCGTGCAGTGAGCATGATGTGCACAATAGTCGCTTACACTGCCCAAGACAGCCCTGCAAGAACAATCACAGCAGCTTATCAACTGATTTTTTTAAAAAAAATTCTTATAGATGTTTTAAGAGTTGCTTTCTTTTCCGCTCTTCAAAGATGCATAAGTCCATGTAACGGACATTTTGTTGGGATACTTCGAGAAAAAGATTCATCATTTCCACGAAACGTGGAAAATACGAATATTTGTAAAATCTGACCATTTTACCGAACGCAACTGGATCAAATGACAGAGATATTGTATCAAAGTGGAGATTTGTTTTTTGCCAAGGAGAGGCACTTTTAAAGGTGCGCAACGTATTATAATTTCTTGGTTTTTTTTAACCGATTTATAAATAATTGATGGCGTGATTTCTTACCTCTTTATAGATGGATCCATGACTACCAACAACCAAAATAGAGGCGTGGTGCTTTTCCACGGCTTCACAGAGAACATTCCTTGCATCTCCTTCCATAACCTCCAATGTTACATCATTCACCTGTACAAACTCGGATGCTTAAAATGGATATGCAGGAATGCTGGCACCTGATTCTCCTTCTTCTAGAATAGCTTTCTAATAAAGCTATTTTAAGCCAGCTTCTTCTAAAAATTCTTCTAAACAGGTGAAACACTTCCAGAAAATTATACATACACGTTCAAAACCAACTTCTTACTCTAAAAAACAGTTTTCGACTTTTAAACTACCTTGCCAAATGGGCCACTAGAAGGAAAATTAAAAGCATGATAACTAACACTTTCCAACTTCTGAAAATTGCGGGAAAATGTTCATTTAGATGGCCTTCAACCCACTAAAATGGCCTAAAATTTAACAACTTGTACTTTACAAAAAGAGGGAAAGAGAAAGACAAAGGTGGTTTTGTGTCATGCCCCGAAATTGAGAGGGCAAAATGTATTTTTCGCTGTAAATTTAGATAGAGAAACTTTCAGTCTGACTGATTGATAATGGATGTGCAATGTTCTAACCAGAAAACAATATAATGTGTGTATATTTCAAAGTTCATACAGTAACAAATATATTGGAAAAACCTCTGCTTTTCTCATACTACACTGAACTCAAGTACGTGGTTCCACTCAAGAGTCGATCGATCAATCTCCAGTACCAAGATTTTGCTTAACTATATAAAACTATAAAGTTTTCTACTAGAATTGTAGATCAATAATGCCATGAATTAAATAAACCAAATCATATCATGGGGTTAATCGAACAATTGAACTGCATGTTCATCAAGATTTGTTTCAATCTCGCAAGATTAAATAGCATAATTGATGTTCAATTGTAAACGTATAAATAAATAATTCGTAATTCGATTACCGATTTGGCAGTGCAAATTTCCTTAGCGCGTTCCAAGACCCTAGCCGCAATCTTCTTCAAATCTATATCCACGTGCAGCAGCGCATCGGCGGCACCTAAAATTACAACCACCAAAAACACCTAGGCAACTCCATCCTGAATTACCTTATATAATCACCAACAATTCAAACTGAAATAATTATAATTAAGAATACCAGGGCCAGCTAGACCGATGGCGTATGACGCAGAAGGTTTAGCGTGCACGATCACTAGCTTGAACGGTGATTTCTCCGGTGATTTGGAAAAGAATTGTTCCAAAGTCCACTCCAAAGCATAGTAGCTGTGTTCACTGTCGTCTAGCCCCACCACCATCACCGATTTCTCCATTTATGCAATCAAACTGAGTATTATTTAGACAACAAATCAGATTCTACTGATTGTCAGATTTTCCAGTTGCTTTGATTTATAAATGTTGATGAGATTGCAACTGCTTTAATTGGAAACGCAAAACCATGTGCTGGAAGGATTTGGAAAACTCGGTCCTGTGAAAAGATTTCTAGAATTCGCACGAACTCCCGAAGAACGTGCAACGATTGGGCAAGTAAATGCGTATTAACTAAAATCGCAAAACTTCCTTTACGGAACAAATTCGATCCAGACACTTCTAAAGAAATAATTAATAACGCTACGTTACATTACTTAGCAGCATTCAACTCAAAAGAGATTTAAGTACTTGTTTGATCCCATTATTTTTAAAATGTATTTTTTTTTTCAACCACATATTTTTCAATAAAATAATATTATTAATAAATTCAAAAATTTTCTTTATTTTTAATTATACATTTTTTTATCAATATACTAATTTAAAATGTATTATTACAATAAAATTGGGGTCAGACATGCCCAAATTAGTGGGCATAAGTTCAGGGCGGAGCTCTAGTGAAGGTTGAACTTTTGGGCCAATTCGATTCACTTTTATATATGTGGAAGTTACACCCCCCACTTTAAAAATGTAGTATTCTAAAATCAGGTTGGATGTTTTATTATTCAAAAATCAGAAATTTTATTTTAATCAATATTTTTATAGAATAAATATTTTTACTAAATAGTTATACTACAATACACACACATCACAAACCCTAATTAATTCCCACTCTTCTATCTCTCTCTAAATTTATCCATTCTCTCTCTATACCAACTCATTGCCTCCCTCCATTCTCTCTCTGCACAACCCATTGCCTCCGACAATCTCGAATTCCTCAGCTTTCCATCGTCGTCCAACCCCATCACCCACCCTCTATTTATTTCACTCCGAAAGGAGCGAATCATTGGTGACTATATTTGCAAAGCAGGTCTACTACCAGAGCGTGCAAAGTGGTGTTTTATGTGGTGGTGGTGATGGTGTTTGTGTGGTTGCAGTATTGTGGAGGTGGCAAATTGCGAAGTAGATCTACGACCAGAGCGCACAAAGCGGTATTTTGTGGGGTGAGGGTGACGGTATTTGTAGTAAGAAAAAGTTTAAGTCTTATGTTATTAAAGTCTGAGTCGTATTACATTTATATTTATAGTAAAGTTTTCTATGTCGAAAGTGATGGAAAAGTCTATATGCAAGTTTGAAAATATTTTCAAGTGAAATGAAAAAGTTTACCTACTAATTAAGAAAAAATGATAAATCTTCTTACCAATTAATTAAGTGAGAGTGAAAAAAGTCTTTTAATCAATTACAAAATCTTCAAATTACGTGATCAAAATAGAAGTCTTCTAATCAGTTTCAAAAAGTCTATTAAGATAAGAAACTTTTTCCTCTTAGAAAGGAAATCTTGCTATTTTTATCTTTATTTTCTCTTATAATTTTTTTTTTTGCCTTTTCTTACAATTTTCAGGATTTTTTATCAAGAAACTCTGACACTAAGAGTGTGTTTGATTACATTTATTTTTTTATGGAAAATATCAATTTTCCACCCAAATTCCTACTTGAAGTGCTTGATTGCTATTTTTTTCCATGGAAAATATTTTCCAACTTTTAAAAATGTGCTTAATTTTTCTTGTTTTTAAGGAAAACATTTTCCTTGGATAGAGGTGGTTTTCATTTTCCACAAAACATGGAAAACATTTTCTTTTCTACGTGATATTTTCCATATCAATCAAACACACTCTAAGAGATAGAAAACTCAATGATTTGCTTCTTGATCTGTTAAGATGAGTCATCTGTATTTCTATCTAGAGCGAATAATATGTGGCTTTCTATAACAATTATTCTACCAATTTCTCTATTTTCTAAACAAAGATTAATAAACTCTTTAAAACTTTCTAATGAACAACAAAGCAAAGTAGATGATGTATAATTGTCTAATAGTATAAAATATTAGAACTAAAAAACAATATGTTTGTAATGGACTTATATTACTTTACCGTTCAACAAATCAATTTTTTCAGTTTAATTTTTTTATTATTTTTTTAAAACTCTCTCTTAACATTTTTCTTAACTTTCTAAGAAAAGCTTGAGACTATAATTAAAAAAAATTTCATCATGTTTAAAAGGATTATTTTTTTCTAGTGCCTCAAAATCAATGAAGACAAGATAGAGAGTCATTTGCATTTGGATAAAAGGATTTCATTTTTGTTAAAGAGAATTAAATTTCCATGAAGATGGCAGAAAGTGCAGAAGTTTGCTATATACACTAATGTCTCTATTGTTTTTGTCAATTTCACAGAGTACTTTTTGAATCCACGCAAATCCTTGGACATTTCAGCCCATTCCGTTGAAAGCTTAAGAAAATATATCCGGACTTTGGCCAGGAAATTGAGGCAACTATAGGGGTAAGACAATGCTATTACCCATATTTTTATTTATAAGTCCATCGGACGGTCATAATTCATAATGTCTCCACTTGAGTGTGATCGAGTGGCTTAAATTTTTAAATAAAATAACTCGAGACTTTCAATAGTAATTGGTGGAAAGAATGACAAACAAGAGATTACTAAATATTTGAGACATTAGTTAGAGATAAGGTATAAAATGGGTCGAACTAGACCAAATATGGGAGTGAGCTATTTGACCTAACAATTCTTTTAGTTGTTTATTAGATTTTTCTAAACCAAAAATCAAAATAAATTCGTGCACGCCACATCCTTCAAATAAGTTGACTCACTACACTTGAACCACTCATAACCTGAATCGTGTCTAACTTCTAGATTGCTCTATCTCAAACTACAACTCTATACTGAGATAAAATATATTTTTTCTTGTATCCAAACAATGCTATAAAGTATAAAAGAAGAGCCAAAAATAGTATAGAAAGGAGGCTGGGATTGCAGCTAGTAAGTAAAAATCAAAGAGTTATGGCCATCCATTGGAGATGAGGAATAAGAGGGAGTAAATAATCACACGTATTTACAAACAATAACTCATTGAAATCCCAATCCAAACACTATCGTCTGCACACAACCAAACAAAAATTCCACATCTCTTAAAAATGACAGAATCAATGGAAAATCAAAGCACGATTTTGCAGTCCAAGCTTGTGAAATTTGCGCTTTGGCATTTATATCCTATCCTATCCTATCCTATCCCTCAATTGATTCGAAAATTAAATTACAAATTTATAAGAAATTACCTTTTTCTTCAAGTCGTGACGTGCCGTGTAATTTGTCATACTTCCGTATTTCCAATTTTCTCAAAATTCAAGAAGTAGTGTTGTACGAAACCTTTACATTTTGCAAAAAACTTTTAAAATTTATATTGTTTACACTCAACAAGCAGATGGGGTGATTGCTCAAGTTTTTTTTGCCCCTTAACTCTAGTAAATTTCTTAACAAAGTAGGATAATCCTATTGTATTTCCTTGATAAAAAATAAAAAAGCTATACCTACGACATATTGACAAATTAAAAATCATTACCAAAACAATTGAAGTTTGCTAAATGAATAACCCAATAAAACTACATTCTTTATTAACACTTCCTGTAACATACAAAGTATCCATGAGAGCCATACATTCCTTTTTCTGCTTTCTTTATAATTATTTTTCTAGCAGAAAGTCAAATAAAAAACCTCAAAAAATCCAGGACTCTTGCTTCACTTACAGGGGGCATTTCACAGGGCTCGGTCAAGACACACACAAGGGAGGGGTCCGCACAATTTTTTTTTTATTAATGCAGGTCGGTCCCACCGACCTACCAGCTACAGTGAGAGGGCTATAAGCCCCCTGTAGAACAGTGCATTGTACACAGGGCATTGTTCAAAAATTAAGTCCACAAGTAAAACCATTCATGTCAATTAGTTAAAACATATTATTAATAAATTTGACGGACAAACCAAAACATTTTTCGTTGCTAAACCTTTACCAACTCACATGTCAAAAGAAAAAAACATTTTTAAAAATGAAAAATCTCTAATTAATTTATTTTTCCGACAAAAACATGAATTAATTTATTTTTCTACAAAAACATTAGGCCCTGTTCTCTTTACCGTTTTCGGGCCGTTTTCTGTTTTCGATTTTTCAAAACGGTGAAAACGTATTCTCTTTCCCGTTTTTGAAAACGAATTTTCGAAAACGAAAAAAAATTTGTGAAGAAAACACAAAACGACTTTTTTGTCATTTTGGGCGTTTTCAGTGTAAAACTTGAAAAAATTTAATTTTTCCCTAAAAAATGTCAAAGAAAAAAATGCCTTGAAAAGCCCAAACCTAAGCAACAGATCTCTTCTTCAGTCATCCCTCTCCTCTCTAAACCCAACCCCAAAGCCTTATCACAATCTCTCTTCCTATTTTTTTCCTTCTCAAACCTCTCTCCTTCTTCCCTTATCCGTAAACCCTCAAAACCGTTTATCTCAAATTATTCTTGGCCTTCAATTGCTCGTTTACTCCGTCAATGGATTCTAATGAGGCGACGGCTTTTCCCGTTTCAGCGACTTCCTCAGGTTCTTCTTCTTCTTCTTCTTCTTCTTCTTCTTCTTCTTCTTATATGCCTGATGATGAAAATTTACTGAAAACAAGTGTTGTGGATAGTGATGTTAAGGATGATAGTGAGAATAGGATTAAGGATAGTGTTTCTGATGAAGAGGACGAGGGGGGTTATGTTAGTGGGCAAGAGGAGTTTGAACCGGCGTCGGAGAAGGTGGTTTTGAGGGTGTTGGATGGGGAAACTGTAGGGAAGGGTGCAGAGGATAGGGGTTTTGATGATGCCACAGGAACTTCGATGGTAATGGTTGATGCTTTACCGATTTCTGGAGTTTCTGAGAATGATAATGGTTCAGTTGCTGTTGGTGATAGAGATACTGACGAGTTGAAGGTGATTGGGATTGAGGGTTTTGAGGAGAAGGGTGAAGTGCACGATTCTGAGTTAGATGAGGGAGCAAAAGAAAGTGGTGGTGAGTTTCCAGATAGTTACGAGAATAAGGAGTTCGAAAATGCTGAATTTAATGCAGAGAAGGTGGTGGAGGAGGAGGTTCAGATGGATAAAGATAAGGCTGAGGAGAATCGGAAGATTGAGTCTTTAACCATTGAAGCTCCAGCTACTGAACCAGTTGCAAAAGGGAATTCTTTAGAACGGGCAGAATCAGGTTTGGATGAAGCAGGTAGGGTGAAATTCACATCTGAAGGGGATTCTGTTGTTGATACCATTCATGTTGGTATCCCTGGGCTGGTGGTGTCTGCTTTTAGGGAGGTAGAACTTGACGTTGAAAAAGTGGAGGTTCCAGTTGATGAGAATGTGGAACCAGATTGTGCTTCTTTTCAGACTAGCCACGGAGTTGAAGAACCAAGTAATGTGGATTTCACATCTGAAGGAGATTCCATTGTTGATACCATTAAGGCTGACACCCCCATCTCCACTGTGCCCGGGGTGGTGGCGGTTGGGGAGATGGATGAAGAAATTGAAAGATTGAAAGTTCCAGTTGATGAAAATGCTGAAACAGTTTATAAAAGCTCCGAGTTCATGCCATTGGGAACTGGCAATAATGCTGCTGATGAAAAAGATGAAAAGATTGATGCAGGAGCTGTTGATTATGTGGCAAATGAAGTTCACATGGGTGTAACAGCGACTGATTCCCTTGCTAGTGACGGAGCTCACGATGTCGAGAATATTGTAAAGAAGTCAGAGAACGGGTTTAACATAGTAGATACTAATGGTGAATATGCCCATGTTAATGTTGCTGATCAATTAGAGGACGAGGTCCACGAGGAATCAGAATCGAAGCCATTCCTTGAGCCACGTGAAATTACCGAAGCTGAAGATGAAGGCCAATATCAAATGACTGAAGAAGTTGACCCTGAAGACTTGATCTCAGATGAGGCAACTGATGGTATGATATTTGGAAGTTCTAAGGCCGCCAAGCAGTTCATTGAGGAGCTGGAACGGGGATCAGGCGCTGACAGTTCGCTTGAGCACTCTCAAGGGATCGATGGTCAAATTGTCACAGACTCAGAAGAAGAAGCTGACACTGATGAAGAAGAAGGGGACGGTAAAGAGTTGTTTGATTCTGCTGCATTGGCAGCTCTTTTGAAAGCTGCAACAGGTGCTGATTCAGATGGTGGTAGTATCACCACAACCTCTCAAGATGGATCTAGGCTTTTCTCTGTTGAGCTTCCTGCTGGCTTGGGATCTTCACTCCGGTCTTTGCGGCCTTCCCCACAACCAAATCGCCCCAACCTTTTTACTCCTTCCACTTTTGCTGGGAGGGGAGAATCTGAGAACAACTTGAGTGAAGAAGAGAAAATGAAACTGGAGAAGTTACAGCAGATCATAGTGAAATTTTTGAGGCTTGTTCATAGATTAGGCCTTTCTCCAGAAGAACCTGTGGCAGCACAGGTTCTGTATCGGTTCACACTTCTTGCAGGAAGGCAGAATGGCCAAATTTTTGGTGTGGATGCTGCAAAGAGAATGGCAGTGCAGCTTGAAGCAGAAGGAAAAGATGATTTGGACTTCACTGTGAACATCTTGGTTCTTGGAAAATCAGGAGTGGGTAAAAGTGCTACCATAAATTCGATATTTGGAGAGGAGAAAGCACCAATTGATGCGTTCGAAACTGGGACGACTTCTGTGAAAGAGATTAGTGGATTTATTGATGGAGTTAAAATTGTGGTTTCTGACACACCTGGTCTAAATTCTTCTGTAATGGAGCAGGCTTACAACCGTAATATATTGTCTTCTGTAAAGAAGTTCACAAAGAAAAGCTCCCCAGATGTCGTCCTCTATGTGGATAGATTGGATGCTCAAACCAGAGATCTTAACGATCTACCACTACTGAGGACTGTTACTAGTTCTCTTGGACCCTCTACCTGGAGAAGTGCAATAGTCACCCTTACACATGGTGCCTCTGCACCTCCAGACGGTCCTTCTGGTACTCCTTTGAGTTACGAGGCTTTTGTTGCTCAAAGATCTCATATTGTCCAGCAGTCTATTGGGAATGCTGTTGGTGATCTACGTATGATGAGTCCAAGTCTCATGAATCCCGTTTCTCTTGTTGAAAACCACCCCTCTTGTCGGAAGAATAGGGATGGTCAGAAAATACTTCCCAATGGCCAGATTTGGAGATCTCAGTTATTGTTGTTATGCTACTCGATGAAGATATTATCAGAAGCAAATTCTCTCTCAAAACCTCAAGATCCATTTGACCACCGCAAGCTCTTTGGTTTTCGAGTTCGCTCACCGCCTCTTCCGTACATGTTGTCGTCGATGTTACAGTCTCGTGTACATCCAAAGCTTCCATCCGAGCAGGGTGGTGACAATGCTGATTCTGATATAGACTTGGATGATTTTTCGGATTCTGATCAAGAAGGAGAAGATGAATATGACCAGCTCCCTCCCTTTAAGCCTCTGAGGAAAGCTCAGATAGCTAAGCTCAGCAAAGAACAGAGGAAGGCATATTTTGAAGAGTATGACTATCGGGTGAAGCTACTTCAGAAGAAACAGTTTAAAGACGAAATCAGAAGAATGAAAGAATTTAGAAAACAAGGGAAGGTTCCCGCAACTGATTATGGTAATCCGGAGGAAGAGGCTGACGCTGGAGCTGCAGCTCCCGTGGCAGTTCCTCTACCAGACATGACCCTGCCGCCCTCATTTGATGGCGATAATCCTGCGTACAGATACAGATTCTTGGAGCCAACTTCTCAGTTTCTTGCAAGACCGGTTCTTGATTCCCATGGTTGGGACCATGATTGTGGCTATGATGGAGTTAACCTCGAACATGGCCTTGCTGTTGCAAACCGGTTCCCAGCTGTGTTTACAGTTCAAATCACGAAAGATAAGAAAGACTTTACCCTCAGTTTGGATTCCTCAGTTTCAGTTAAGCACGGAGAGTATATCTCGAGCATGGCAGGGTTTGATATTCAAAGTATAGGAAAGCAACTTGCATACATTGTCCGAGGTGAAACCAAATTCAAAAATTTGAAGAAGAACAAGGCAGCTGGTGGAATGTCTGTAACTTTTCTAGGTGAAAATGTGGTGCCTGGTGTGAAAATTGAGGATCAGATTACATTGGGAAAACAGTATATTTTGGTTGGTAGCTTTGGTGCTGTTCGTTCACCGAGCGATACTGCATATGGAGCCAACTTTGAATTGCAGCGAAAGGAGCTTGACTCTCCAATGGGCCAGGTTCAATCGACCCTCAGCATGTCTGTGATTAAATGGCGCGGGGAGTTGGCTCTCGGGTTCAACAGCCTGGCTCAGTTCTCAGTTGGGCGTAATTCTAAGGTTGCTGTCCGAGCTGGGATTAATAACAAGCTCAGTGGTCAGATCACGGTAAGGACAAGTAATTCGGAGAATCTCTCTCTTGCACTTGCTGCTATTATTCCGACGGCTATTTCCATTTACAGGAAGCTCTGGCCTGGTGTTGCCGACAAGTATTCAATCTACTAGTCCTCATTTCTTGCAGTATGGTTTTATATTACTCATGTTACATGACTATGCTTTTATTATTTTTTCTGCATTTCGAATAATTATTGTAGAATATCATTTATAATTGCTGCTCAAAACCTTTTATTTTTTTGGGGCGTGATAATGTACTTACAATGAGAAGTTAAAGAATTTTGTTGTCATTATTGTCATTTGGAATTTTATTGTATTAAAATGTAACAAAATTTGTGGTGCAGATATGGTTATTCAAGGTATTATCGTTATTTAGGTTCTTTGATAGAAATTGGAGAAGTTTACCAAGTTGTAACGGTGCAACATATAAACATATTGCCAAATATCACACAATTTCCATTGTAGTGTGAGGTGACGATCATTCGTCTCATCTTCCGTAAGTCCGTTTAGGACTTTTATTTTTGTTTTTACTTTTTATAGAAAAGTTTTTTTTGATAAAATTAATTTGATTTTTGTTTGAAATTTAATTTCTAAAAGAGCTTCGTATTCTGTAAATATATTTAGGGAAAATTGTTACAGAAGTTTCAAACCTTTGAAACATTAGTTGATTTTTTTCAAATATTTGATTTGTTGTAGTCGTCGCCTATAATATTTTCAAACGTTGCAGGTGAAGTTTTTTTGGATGGTTTTCATCGATAGATCCTTTAGTTGACCAAAAATTTAATTTTAACTACATTTTTAATATTTTAAAAAAGAGTAAATGAGTAAATTTTTATTTATCACATCAAATAATAATTAAATTAAAAAATAAGAAATAAAAAAAACACAACCTCCTGTCTTCTTCCTCTCACCTCACTCCCAAGTCAAACCCAAAGTCCACACCAATCACTGCCATCGCCATCACCTCCTTCACTTCCAAAACCCAAAATCTTCTCATTCTCTTCACTCTCATTCTCATGGCTACTTCAATCTCAGGACCCTATTCCTTGAGGTTGAATGCCGAAATTCTCACTCACAAAACCCTTCAAACAACCTCTTTTAGGACTCGATTTCAAAAGTTTACCAGAATCTGCCCTTTGCGAGTAGCGCGTGAGGTTCCCCCGAATACCATCTCAAGCACTAATCCCATCACCGATGTTGTACCGAAGTCAATCAAGAAGCCCAAGCTCGAAAAGGATCATCAGGAGCTATGGAAGAGATATGTCGACCGACTGTACCAGCACAAGGAGCTGGGCCTCTATTTGGATGTGAGCTGTGTGGAGTTCACGGACAAGTTCTTCCATAAAATGGAGCCTAGACTCCAGAAGGCGTTCAAGGACATGGAGGAATTGGGAGGGGGGAAGGGGGGGGGGGGGATAGCAAACCCGGACGAGGGCAAAATGGTGGGTCACTATTGGTTAAGGAACCTTAAGCTTGCTCCGAAAGCTTTCTTGAAGTTACAAATCGAGAATACGTTAGAGTAATTTGCCAATTCGTTGACCAAGTCATTAGAGGAAATGTTAGTTTTCCTTCTGAATCTATTGCCTTTTTCATTTCCGTTGATTCTATCTTTCTTCTAGTTGTTCACTTAGATTTGGACGGATCCCCACTCTTTTGTATAATTGAATTTAGGTGGCGGTGGTCGATGGTAGTGGTTGGTGTGGATTTTGGGTATGGGTTTCGGGGTGGGGGAAGAAGACTGGGGGTTGTTTTTTTTATTTTAATTATTTTTTAATGTGATAAATGGAAATGTACTTTCCCCTATTTTTTAAATATTAAAAATGTGGTTAAAATTAAATTTTTAATCAATTAATGGATTTGTGGATGAAAACCGTCCAAAAGCATTTCACTTGCAACGTTTAGAAAAGTTAGGAGTGATGTTTGCAATAAATCAAATGTTTGAAGAAAATTAGCTAATGTTTTAAATGTTTTGAGCTTCTGGTGCAATTTTCCCATATTTTTAGGGAAAGTCGTTCGGATAAGCATTTTCTAAAAACTCTTTTACCTATAAAAAAAATCCTTTTATAAAATTAGCCAAATAAATTCAAAAGCAACTTTTAAGTTTCAACAGTAGTTTTTAAATTTGAAAAGTATTTGTTTTTTCCTTTCTCTTTTTGAAAAAGGGCCCAAAGTAACATGGAACAACTTCAACATTACCGTAAGAAATATGCATTTTCAGTTTGAAACATGGCATATATTTCAAGAACAATGGGCAATAACAAACAGAAATCTAAGGTTTTGCTATTTATATGGTTGAGACCGATTCCTTTAGAGCCGTGCAATCTCTTGCTTCTACATTTTTTATTTTTATTTTTTCACTCAAACACATCTATATCATATGATAATGTTGCTTTACTCAGATAAATGAATTGTAGTCCATGTTGTCATGTACCCTTATGGGAATATGACCGCTCATGTTGTTGTGTTCCTAGCGCTTGACATGCCATTTAGAAGGATTGTATGTCCTACTTTTTTTATGACGTGATTTGTGATGATTTGAATTAGTGAATGTTGAAATTTTTTACTTGAGAAAAAAAATTCATCCTCCTTTTTGTTGTAACATAATTTCTATAATCATCTTAGCTAACTAGGTTACAACCCGATGCCATGTTGCTTGAAACAAATAGTACAATCGGACAAATCAGTCAGAGATTGGACGGGATCCTGCTCCATTTGACCGCTTTGGACAATAATTCATGCAAAAATTAATTCGATTTTACCTAAATATGCGTCAAGCCGCTTTGGACAATAATTCATGCAAAAATTAATTCGATTTTACCTAAATATGCGTCAAGCTATGAAGATTTTACCTAAACGTAACTCGATTTTACCTAAATCTGTTCCTGTACTTAAAATTCTCCGCCTAAGATTCGGAGGAAGGTGAAGTGAAATCATTTTTCTTTGAGAAAATTGAGAAACAGGGGAATCGAAATGGATGAGGATGGATTGAAAGCGGTTCTGAGGGAAGCATTTGGGGATTCATCCGATAGCGATTGCGAATTGGGTGGTTCAAGTGATGGATTCGAAAAGTCTCAACCGATTTTTGTGGAAAGCTATACATGGGAACCGATTACTGAAATCAGCGGCCTGTGGATTTGCAGAGACTTTTTATCGCCAGATCAACAATCCTCCTTGCTCTCTTCTATCGAAAAAGGTACTCCACTATTCGCTCACTTTTGTACTGGTAAGTTGAATTGGATAGTATTGGAGTAAATAGCGGATAGAGAGAGTTAAAATCTTGTTTATATTTAAGGGCATATCAACTAGATTTTAGCTTCTTTTTATTCTTTAATAATTAGGGTGTTATCTATCCTACGTTATCAGACATAGAATGATAGTTCAGTAAAATGGGAAAAAAAACCCAACAATTCTAACATGTTGATCGTTTTTTTGTAATATTTGTGGTTGCAGAAGGATGTTTTGCAGACGCCTCCCATAACCAGGTTTTTGCACCCAATCTCAATTCTTTTAGTTCTAAATGGTAGGTCTAAATTATGAATATAGGTTAAGTCTGGTATTGTTTATGTGCTGTAAATATCTCTCATAACTGTATGGATAATGTAATGGTAGAATTGGAACTGAGAAACGGATGCAAATCTTGATTCAAGATTGGAATTTGGAAAAACAAGTATTCTCAAAATAAGTTAATTTGTGGGTGAAATATAAGCTGTATCTGTGTTGGACCCTTAAATGATATCTCAAAATAATAAGCATTTCTCCTTCCAGGTGGAATACATTGATGATGTGTGGAGAAGATTGACCAGACATAGGACAGGACCACGAGCTGATAACGTTATTGTTAATAATAGTACTATATCATGTCGTGAGGTGACAAAGAACCTCCCTGAAAGTAATTTTCTCGTTTTGGTTTCAGGGTTCACCAGTTCTGTTACTGGAGGGTGGGGTGGGGTGGATTGGAATATCTTCAAATTAAGGGGTTAGTTTTAATCCCGTTAAACATAACGCTTGAGATGCTATACCTTTTTACCATATCCCGAGGCATTCAATCTGTTCATGAACTAATTGCCCTTCCATTTTAGAAACCAGGCTCATACAGTTAATGTTATCCCACTTCAGCAGTGGTATGGCCTGTAAATATCTCTGTTTGCATTTTCTTATTTGGTTTGAAATCAGCATTTGAAGATGTTTGCAAACACATTAATGGTAATGTAGGCATTTTGTTATCTTGTTCTTTTGCAGGCAATGAGGTTTGGAGATCTTCCTTCTTGGGCTGTCGAACTTTCCTACAACGTCCGTGAAAGTGTACTATCAAGTGGTTATGTTTCTGAATTGACATATGAAGAAGAAACAATCGATAAGGGTAAAGAAGCTTGTCTCTTTCCACCCAAGTTACTACAGAGGGAACCGCTTTTCAATCAACTTATAGTAAACGTTTATCAACCAGGTGAGGTGAGATATGATTCTTGAGCTATTTATGAGGTTTTATAACATACCAATGTTGAACATGTTTACACCCAGACACTTGCCCATAGCGTGTCCTGGAAGTGTTAAGTGAGTTTTGAAATATAAAAAACAGGGCACGCTACGTGACTGTGTCCGACACTTGTTCTGGACTATTCGAGGACTGGTGATGTCTAATACATGTCGGACACAAACATGTCACCCTGATAGAAATGTCGGTGCTTCATAGGCACAGTTCGATATTGGTTGGCTGCAATTTCTTGAAAATACATCATTTTCACGCTGGTTCTCATCTGGAAGAACTTATCCCCGTGAACTTATTATTACGTGCAGGGAATTGGTGCACATGTTGATCTTATGCGCTTTGAAGATGGAATTGCAGTAATCTCCCTGGAGTCATCCTGCGTGATGCATTTTAGTCGAGTTGAAAATGAAGTCGACTGTTTTGAAGAGACGGGCAAAGAACCAAAGATTCCTGTACTTCTAATCCCAGGATCCTTGGTCTTAATGTGGGGAGAGGCACGTTATATGTGGAAACACGAAATAAATCGAAAGCCTGGATTTCAAAATTGGCAGGGCCTCGAGATTGACCAGAAAAGGAGGACCTCTGTAACTTTGAGGAAGCTGGGTCAAATGTGATCCCACCCAATAGATTTTTTGTATTGCTAAGCAGAATTTTGAGGCATTACATTTTCGGCACATGAACATGTTTGGATAAGCTATAAGCTATTAAGTTTAAGTTTACTCATATGACCAGAAAAGGACCTCTCTGTGAGTTTTTAAAAGTATGATTTTTGAAGAAAAACAAAATATAGAAGTTTGTTGTCAATCAAATAGGATGTTTAGTTTGCCGAGTTTGAGTAATTTTAATCAATTGTTTTTTATTGTCAGTTACCAAAAAATGTCATCACCTTAATTAAGTTTTTTTTTTTTGAAATATTTAATTATAATATGAAATTAATTTGAGAATAAAGAAGATGTAGGAGTAATTCTGGATTTATTTATTTATTTTTTGTTATATACGAAAATTATGTTTCAACAAAACGTGCTAACAAAGGCTCATTTTTGAGAGACAATGGATTAGACCTCCTAGCATAAGATCCATCTCCAAATTCTTCGTACTTGGTCCATGTAATTGGGCTTCAAAAACAGCCCTTTCTTTCTATGTACTAATGGATGAAAATGACATTGCTAAATGGTATTTAGAGATCTATATTATATTGCTCGTGAAATATGTATTATGGGTGTATAAGCATGTTGAACATCGTATCCTAAAAGGTGAAGTACGATCATCCCTTCTTGAAGCAACATCACAAGAAATAAACAACTTGCGGAGGTGACTTTCAATAAAAGAATAATTTTTTCGAGTAATCTAATTGAAAAAATAGCTATCATAGACCAATTCTGAAATCACCAAAGTATAATGAGTACTTTTTGAGCCTTTTATTGCTAGTGAACATGAATTCTAGCTAGATATACTTGCTGCAAAAGTTGGTTACGAGAGTGAAGAAGGAGAGTACTTTTGCCCACGTTGTTGTTTGTGTTGAATTAGAGACATGAATATATTCTTGACTTCATTAAGAAAAGCAATCCACTTTCCTCTATAAAGTAATTCATACATTTCATATGCCATTGTTTTCCTTAGCTTACTATTCAAAAGGCTGCTTCCATTATGTGCATTGCACAAAGAAATATCCTTTAGCTTTTATCCATTTTTATTGTCTTGCGTAACGTGAACTTCACACTGTCTTTGAATTTAGATAGCTGAGAAAATTAGTTGTCAGTGAGGTTGTGTGATACCTATTTTTACTTTGTGTAATTAACTAGTTATGCCAATTATAACATGTGATGCAATTCACAACTTCGAAAGAATAATATTATTCATAGTCAACAATTATCGATAGTCATCTTATGTGACAAATTGTTATTTGAAGCATTATTGGATATAAAGCTAATGCCTCAAATAACAAGCGGTCATATGGAATGACTAAGAGCAATCGCTAAATATAAATAACATTACTCATTTCAAAAAGTGCTCTCTGCACTTGTCATATACTTCAAAAGGTCTTAAATTTGCATTGATATATATATATATATATATATATATGCGTTCACTCTTGACAAAGTGACTCAATAAGTTCAATTTAAATCCGTTGAATCTTTAGTTGCTCTCCTTTATTAGGGAAGCGATAAGTGACCATACGAATTCAACGTTAACGAGTGACATCTTTTGTTACTTAAGAGATACTCACCGGGTGGACTATACCTAACATGTCTCTTTAGTTTACTATGCTAATTAACTAGAACTCAACTTGATGAAGACTGTGGCTTATAAGCGAATCTAACATTGCTCGACATATAAAGTGACAATATATATTATTTATCAAAGTACAACCTTGTAATCATAGTGTGCTTTATCTGTTACGGATAATACGTACATATAGATACATACAAGTGCAAGGAGGTAATGGAGGACAAAATGATTTGAGGAAGGGCACGCGATTCCAATTAAGTGCATGGAAAAACAAGGGCACTGAAAAAAGGCATTTTTCTCTAATGCATTGTATATCAGAAATATCCATGGAAGGGAAAAAGATATTCCACTAGCAAAAATGTGTGTCGAAAATTGACAAAAATGGAGAATAGGTACCCTAGAGGAATACTATGTGTCTGTCACTATATCGACGCGGCAAGCACAAACCGATCATGCGAGTAAAAGGAGATGTTTTGATGATGAAAATTGAAGCTTGTTTCCCTTTCCTAGTTGGATGAGGTATAATTTGTTCCCTTGTCTCGAATTTCTTGGGTGGTAGAGCTTGTTTCTCATAATTTGCACAAACGTGGAAAAAGATTAGGTTAGTTGGTTCATATTTGTTAATATTGTATGAGACTTTAACGGTTTAAACATTTAGATGATGTAGTTAACATGACATTGGGTTCAGATGTTGCACCATTGTGCACTTACGAGAAGTTCACACTTGTAAGCAAAATTTTGAGTCCAAGTAATTTTTGATTCCTAATAGGATTCTCAATTCCAAAACAATCTATATAATTGAACAACTTAAGCTAGATAAAAGTTATGAATTTAAAACTTCAAGTTCCGACAATCACTAAAGTCAAGGGCGAACATGCTATGGGACATAGTGGGGCACTTGACCCACCAAAATTTCAAAATTTGTTTTTTTTTTAAGCTCCAAATTCAATTGGGTTGAGTTGTTTATGTGATTTGTTTCATAATCGTGTGAAGGATAATAGATGCAAAAAGTATTTGTTTAAATGAGAAAAAAATAATAGGAACCATTGAAGCACAATTAACCATTACATAGTAAATTATCTAGTACACGAGTTTTGAACTCAAAATTAGGAGCATCGAAATATTGCTTTTGTGAATTATATATTTTGCTTACCAAACTTTGATTATTAATAAGCAAGAGACTAACTTCTCCGTTCCTAAGCTAAGTCATCAACGTGGACTGAAGCTAAATTTCTTCTCATTATGCTCATTCAATGGAAACAACGTGAGGAAGAGCTTGAAGATCAGAAGGAGAAAGTGGCCAATAAAAATGTATTTATTGATTAGTTCTTAACTGATATCAACAAATTTAAAGTTCCAACCATTTAATTTAAAGTTCGAACACGAGTATGTTGCACAAGTATAGTTGAGAAAGGGCGACTCAGTGTGCTTTTCTAATGTGAACTTGACCGGGTTTATGTCGCACATGGATTACGTTTATTTATTTGTTTCATAGATGTCGAATGTTTCAATTTTTTCTCAACTTTTTTGCAAGTTTGATTGTGTCACCCAACTCAAAATATCTGCTTCTGCTACTAACTAAAGTTTCATATAAAACAAGTTTCAAAACAAAATTTAGATAGATCTAAATATGAGAGGGCAATGTCCCACATAGATTAAAGATAAAATAAATAACTAATACATGAGAGCTCGGTGCTACTATTTTTAATAAAGTTAACATTTGAAGTTAAAACTCCAAATCATAATATGATAATAGAGCCAAATGAGCTCAAATGACAAATATGGTTCGTCTCAAACTCAAATGACCATTTGGATTTCAAGATTATTATGCTCAAACGAGCCACCATCTTATGGAGCATGTTAAAGATGAAACAAGTATCCAAAGTATAAAGGCTCGATACTTTTATAAGATTTTTTAAGATTGAACTCCAAGTAACAAGTATAAATATAATATTAATAAATTGCTTTGCTCGTAATAGCTGAAATGAAGTATTTATCATAATGTTTTCGATGGGGAAAATATTTATGTGATAAATATCTTTCATTTCATGTAATTGGAAGCATTGGACACGCGATTACTTTAACAAATAGGAAAAAAAGGTACTATTCTGTGTAATCCAATACAATTTAATTAACATGCTTGTAAAGAATAATTAACTTTAGGCAATCCAATTCATTCTAATCCTATAATTTGGTGCAAGTTGTCGGCCAAAACCTATGGGGTTGTCATCAGAGAAAAGAAGTGCATTAAGTTTCTCTTTATGTATTACACGTCAGTCACATTGTTTTATCTCCAAGAAATAAATCTGGAACTGAGCCATAAAGAAGGATTTTATTCACTTTGTCTTTGTCTTTCTTCCTCTTTCATGTACTTGTTGAGATAAATTAATTACCAAATAAAAAATAAAATGATTCAATTGTCTTTTCTCACATTGTCCCAGTGTGGGAAGATTTTTTATTTTTTGTTAAAATAAAGAAATTGTGACTTTGGCTATGAGAGACAAAATCTGCTAATATAATATGTAGATTGTAATTTGAAGGTTTTTTCAAATCATAACTTATGCAATAATTGAAAATGAAAACTCGTTGGTAGAAACGTTTTTTAAGTGCAATGAAACTTGTAAAACATGCTATACAAACTACGAATAATTAGTCAAGATAAATGGTGGTATCGGATTCACTTGGTTTGTGAATCTCTTCTTCTTTTTCGATTTGCATCAAGAGCTACAATTTTTAGTATGTACTAAGTAGGAACATGTTCCTACAACGTGATTTTTACTAATAGGCATTATTTTTTGGAATAATAAAACTTTTTATTATAAATATTCTCGGCCTCAATACCAAGAAAGTTAATTTGTATCATTACCATCCATTGATGCAAATATACAACGATTTCGAAAATAAGTTGAAATTTGCTCACATGACACTTTTAGAGCAAGAGAATTTTGTCCACTATTTTTTGATTGGTAAATAATATTCATTTTTTTTTTTCAATTTTTTTGACAAACATACTCTTCTCACTTCGAGGGTATTACCAAATTCCCCTTCTTTCTTTTCGTGCGAATTTCAGATTATTTAAATATCTTCATCAAACTAAGAAAAGTAGGCATTTTCTTCAAACTGGGAAAGTAAATAGAGTTTTTTTTTGTCCATTTAAACACTTTAGCCTCCCTTTTATAAATGGTTTATAAATAAATTTATTAACAAAAATAATAATGAATCTCACGAAATTTGTGAATACTGATGAGTAGTATTTATGAAGATATAATTGAGATTGTTTGGATGATGGTGTAAAAGCCAAAAAAAAAAAAAAAAATTCTAATTAGAAAATTTTTCTATACCAAACACAATTAATAATACAACTTCAAATGTTTTGTATGGATTTTTGTAATTATCAATTTGAATCGGAAAAATATCGCTATGCGTCATAATCTAGATAGATATGAGACAAAAATGTGGAAAATAATAATATTTTATTGATAAAGAAAGAACAAAACAGGAAATAAACTTGCAGAAATATATTAATTACTAAAATGAGAAAGGATTTGCAAACCAAAGCCTGTGTAGATACATTTTCTTAAAATAGATTCTTCGCTTCGGTGTTTGAGGTCTCATTAAGCGTCTGTCTCACAAGATACAATGAAAAAATCAATAGTTATCGATGTTACACAATTGACATTACCACTAACACTGCTAAATAATTTACCATAAAATGAAGGAGTTTTAGAAGTTCGAAACCCACTTGGAAGAAAAAAATAAAGGTAAAATGTGGGCCTCCTAAGTGATCAATTTTTGTTCCGTTTGGTTTAACATTTGTGTGTGTGAGAACCTGAAGAGGGCTTTTATATTACGTATGATTGCACCCATCAACAGTGTATCTATATTTAAATTAGTCATTGCCTTGTTCATTTTTCAATGTGGGTCAAACTTCCCTTCAATACAAACATATTTCAATGGTCCATTTTGAACTCTAATTTTTCATTCACCCGATTATTATTTTTGTCAAATAAATATATGATTTCGATATTCTCATAAAAGAGAACATGAATCAACTTTGATCTTCTAAAATGAATGAACGGATCCCACTTAAAATTATGCCAAAAGAAGCAGCCCAACAAAGTCATTTTTTCCAACGGTAGATACGGGTAAAAATTAAACCAGAATGATGAAAAAAATTTGTATAAGTGATCTCAAAATTTTCGAAAACCATTATTTAGTTTTTTATTTTTTTTATTTTCTCTGTTTCTAAACTGTGAAGTGTGAGGCTGGAATCGATAATAAAAATTCTGTCACCAATCATATACAAATAGAGGCAACTATATGTATAGCTAGATTACATTCGCATGCCATGGCTCTTTATATATAGCCCTATTTGGTTCATAAACTATTCATACAGTTTCACCACGGGGGCACCCCAAGTTCAGAGGAGACTTTTTCCTTCAAGTTCAGTCAATTCCATTGGTTAAGTTATCTTTTATTGATCGGAGGTTAGATTATATGTCCCTTTGAGTCTTGTATTTCTTCTCTCATATTGATTAATAGTAAAATAAAAAAAAATAAAATGGAAAACTATTCGGACAACAAGTATCTTGTGTAAAAGAATAATTGTTTCTTTAACGTTACAGATCATATATGGACGGGAAGAAGTTGGAGTACAAAGGCGTGGAGGCATTGAAGGAGCTCGAGAAATTGACTACACAAGCCGAGGAAGTTCAAGAGGACATTTTGAAGAAAATCTTGGCACAAAATGAGGAGACAGATTATTTGAATAAATACATAGTTGGATCGAAAAATGTATCCCAATTCAAACGTTGTGTGCCTGTTATTACGTACAAGGATATTCGTCCTTACATAGTAAGAATTGCTAATGGCGAAGACTCCAGTTTAATTACTGGCCATCCCCTCACTGAGATGCTATGCAGGTCTCTCTCTATATCTATATTTATCTCTCGTGTGTATATAAGCTTGCATGTGTTTCTCTCTCTATATCTATGTTGTCACTGAGAGAGAGAGAGAATGCATGTGCTTTTTTTTTTTTTGGTTTTAAATATTTGTTTCTGTTCCCATATGCAGCTCAGGTACATCTGCAGGAGAGCCCAAATTGATGCCATCAATTGCCGAAGATCTTGATCGTCGTACCTTTCTTTATAATCTAATTATGCCAATAATTAACCAGTTAAGACAACATAGAAGACATTTTAACTAATTTTTCTTCTTTAATATCGTCAACTGGTATCTAATTCGATGTATCGAACATGCTATATGATTAGGTATGTACCAGGACTCGAGGAGGGCAAAGCCATGTTCCTCTACTTTGTCAAGGCCGAGATGTCGACTCCTTGTGGCTTACCAGCTCGTACCGTGCTTACTAGCTACTACAAGAGTCCACATTTTAAATGTCGTGCACACGATCCATTCAATGATTTCACTAGCCCGGATCAAGCCATTTTGTGTTATGATAGCAACCAAAGCATGTATTGCCAATTATTGGCTGGCCTAATCCATCGACAAAAGGTGTTAAGTCTAGGTGCAGTATTTGCCTCAGCTCTTCTTCGTGCCATCTCCTTCCTTGAACGCAATTGGCCTAATCTATGCCACGACATTAGGACGGGCAACCTTAATGCCACAATCAACGATCCCGGATGCAGATCCGCCATGTCTATCATGCTTTCATCTCCTGATCCGAATTTAGCTGATGAAATCGAGGAAATTTGCAGGTGCTCTTCATGGAAAGGGATAATTTGTCATCTCTGGCCTAATGCTAAGTACATTGAAGCAGTTGTCACGGGCTCCATGTCCCAATATATACCATCTCTAAAGTACTATAGTGATGAGAAATTGCCACTGGTTTGTACAATGTATGCCTCTTCCGAATGTTATTTTGGTGTCAATTTGAAACCCTTGTGCGATCCGTCCGAGGTTTCTTACACCATGCTGCCAAACATGGGATTCTTCGAATTCATACCTCTGGGGGACAATCGGACATTTGTAATGGACCTCAATGAAGATGAAGATGAAGATGTGCCTCAAAGTCAACTAGTTGACCTGGCACACGTCGAAGTCGGTCGCTATTACGAACTTGTCGTTACGACATTTTCTGGTGAGAATATTCTATATGATATCTATCATTTTCACAAATTACATTTCCAACAAAGAATGGACTAGAGATTATCTTCAACACTCCACTTTAATATATATACTTGGCATTCTTTTGATTTGAGTGATTCAGGTTTGTATAGATATCGCATTGGTGACGTGCTCCAAGTGACAGGATTTCACAATCGGACCCCACAATTTCGATTCATTTGTAGGAGAAACGTCCTTCTTAGCATCGACAATGACAAAACCAACGAAGAAGACCTACACAAGAGCATAAATGTTGCCAAGAAACTCCTTGACCCCTATAATGCACTGCTTTTTGAGTACACGAGTTATGCTGACACCTCGTCCGTGCCTGGACATTATGTGATTTATTGGGAAATAATTCACAGCACCTCCGTTGTGGACGAAGCAATTTCCATTGATGCCAAGGTTTTGCAAGAATGCTGCATTGCAATGGAAGAAGAACTCGACTACATCTACCGTCGATGCCGAACCAACGATAAGTCCATCGGCCCCCTCGAGATTCGGGTCGTGAAGCTGGGAACTTTTGATTCGTTGATGGATTTGTTCATCGCACAAGGGGCATCAATTAATCAATATAAAACTCCTAGGTGCATCAAATCTAAAGCTGCACTCAAGCTCTTGAATAATAATGTGAGTGCATGCTATTTTAGTCCTAGGGATCCTGCATGGATTGCTTGAATGTGGAACCTAAAACACAATCAATCCTCTTTAAAGTTTTTAATTTTCGATTTCTAACTCTCATTAGGAATCAAGACCTTTTGCCATGAAGGAAATAACAATTTTGAATTATCATTTATTTTCTGCAATATGACGGAGAAATGCACCAATTATATTCTTATTTAAAGAACCCTACGTAAAAATACTCAAAAAATAGGTGTAAATTTCAAGAGAAATTGACTGTCATTGAAAATATTAACCCTGTCAAACACTCTCCCCTTCCCCGGCCGACCCCCCTCAATGGGCTCTAATTGCGTTTTCTTATTTTAAATTTTTAATCAATTTAAAAATCATTTAATAATATATACAAATTATAGTACCAAATGCAATTTTAAGAGCTTAATAAAATAAATATATTTTCGAATAATAAACAAGATATATTATAATAGTGCTAAATGAAATATATTGAGAGTTTTAAATTTTTATTAATTAGTAAAAGATAGGAAAATGTTTAATTTACTTTTTAAAATATAAATAACTATTTATTCAATAGCATAATATATTATAGCCAAACCAAAGGTACAATACACTGTAGCCAAACAAAATGTATAATATATTATAGCCAACCAAAGTTACAATTTACAACAGCCAAACCAAATGGATTCTTATCTCACGTCGAAAGTTTACGACAAAGTCCTTTAAAATGTTCTCTATAAATTAATGGACCAATAATTGTGTAAGTAATTTTTTGGGTCTTCCAATCTATTGCCCTAAAAGTTGAAAAATTTATAATTATTAATTTTTGAGCTTTTCCATCCAATTGACCTAAAAGTCAAAAACTTTATATACAAAAATTAAAAAAAATAAATAAATATTAGTGATGTGCGTCAAGGAGAGCCTAGGCATGCCTTAAAATAGTCGATGCTTTTACTAATTGCTAAATTAGCACATAAATCCTAGCGACAACCAAGTGTTGCCAAGACGTAGCATTTAGAACACAGAATAATATTGATCAATCCTTATAAAATAATAATCTTTTTAAACGTGCTCTAATGGTTATATGAAAAAAATGATATCAATTTTCCTTGTTCAAGTTTGTACGTCATTGAATCTATTATCTACTGCGAGACAAGTCATCTCAATATTTTTTGGTGAATAAAATTAAATGCAACATGATATAGAACTTACAATTGATCTAGATAATCTTTTTAACAAAGCACATATTTTACTAAAACAAAATAGAAAGATTTTATTGATATTGATAATTGATACACCATCTAGCAAGGCATTCCCTTATTCCAGAGCAAGTTCTGACGTAAATTCAGCGCCAATGCTATATTAAAACGGAGGAGAGAAGCAGTTAAATGTAATATAACATCGGCCAGTGTTCTGGCCAAGCGCGCACTCTCTAATTCCATCTTATTAAACTACAATGCAGTTCTACCGTGTTTTAAGAATCAAAATCTAATTAAACGGCAGAGAAAAGATTTTATTAACAGGGAGGAAGAACAATCAGCGCTCTATTGCTCGCTTGGCTCCATCCAAGGTATTCTTAAGTAGCATTGCAACAGTCATTGGTCCAACACCTCCAGGAACTGGAGTTATCCATCCAGCTACTTTACACGCTTCATGATAATCACAATCCCCGACCAGTCTATAACCAGACTTCTTACTTGGATCATCTATAGCATTTGTCCCCACATCAATCAATGCAGCGCCAGGTTTGATCCAGTTGCCCTTGATCTGAAAATTAGATTGATCAATCAAAATTTCTCCTTAAAAAGGAAATTACAATCACGAAAGATCAATTGCGTTCATCATGTAGACGATAAGGGCAAGGTGAAGCTATTGTTACCATCATCGCTTGTCCTGCGGCAGCAATAATAATGTCAGCTTCTCGAATGATGCTCTCTGGTTCCTTGGTTCGTGAATGGACTACAGTAACAGTAGCATCTTCCTTCAGAAGGAGAAGAGTAACTGGTAATCCAACTATGTTACTTCGACCCACCACAACTGCCTTCTTTCCCTTTATAGTAATGCCACTTCGCTTTAGAAGCTCAAGACAACCCTGTTTACATCACCCAGGCTGTAAGACCGGATATTTATTAAGTGGCCACAAAATTACCGACTAAACTTTTTCTTGATTAATAACTGTCCATACAGTCTTTTAAATGGAACACAAAAGAGTATTCCAGGAATGATATACCTTGGGGGTGCAAGGAACAAACAGAGGTTCTCTGCCTTTCATAGCAAGCTTGCCAATGTTCATAGGATGAAAGCCATCTACATCCTTCTCCAGGGCAATTTCGGTTAGAACTTTCTCTTCGTTTATATGTTTAGGCAATGGAAGCTGCACCAATATACCTGCACAGACAATGAAGAAAATTTATTTTAGCACTTTTCCCCACAAATAGAGCACAATAACAGACAAGAATAAAAATTTATTATGAATAAGAAAATGCAATTGTACGGGCATGTCAGCTTAATTGTTGAATCAAACTCGAAGTGGATAAGATGGGTTGAAGCCAAAATTATATGGTCACCTGCCCCCATCAAAATTGAATCTACACAAAGTTTTTGGGCATAGACTGCAGGTCAAAATCAGATTCCAGTTCAAATCAGTGAAAAAAGATTTTTAGCTAAGCAAAATAATTTTGTAGTTTTTAACGAATGGTACACATAACTCATGGATGATAGAACACATGATGATGCAAGCAAATTCTTTGCATTCTCCCATCACTAGTTCTTTTCGATATTTAAGTAATGTTATTTGAACCTGATTCTTGAGCCCATTATACAATACCCCTCAACCTCCGGATTTATCAGATAAATGAAATAAGGTTTATTGCCAGTACTATAGTTAGATTACACAGATCCGATAGTCTTTATCTAAATGAACAGAATATCACTTCACAACCAGTTTTTCCACTGCAAATTATATAATTTAAAATTAGTTAACGATGTCATACTAGTTGACATAATCAGACTAATATAGGAACAAATTTATTACGAATAAGAATTTCCAATCAGCTAATGATGTCATACCAGTTGACCCAATCAGATAAATATAGGAATAAACTGCATTATGAATAAGAATTTCTATGCCATCTTATATTTATTTAAGGTCGTGGACATGAGAAATTACTGGCGACGAAATTAAAATATATCCAATCAAGTTCTAGGAATTGAGTAATTGTCAGTAAGTTCATAACCAACCATGTACATCAGGATTTGCATTTAAATAATGGACCCGGCAAATCAATTCGGTTTCCGAAACATCTTCTGGAAGGTTTGTATCAACAGACTTTATCCCAACTTCAGCGCATGCTTTTCTTTTCATATTCACATAGCTTTCAGAATCCTTCCTATTCCCCACAATCACCACTGCAAGCCCTGGCACCTGAAATTAGCTTTAGTACTTCAAAATATGTCCATGCTATTGATTAAACACCTAAACACATATTATACAAAAATAAAAAGCAAGTAAAGAACATATGATTTATAATAGTTCCCTCCTAGGGAGAGAGCTTCATCCAATTGCCGCTACAATGTTTTAGCATAATGAAGAGATTACAATATATTTTTAGCTCAGTCTCTTCGTTGTCCTTATATCCTTCATAATATTAAGATCTAATGCAAGATTAGACTCTAAAAATTCAACATTTACATACACACCCACCCACCCACACACATATATATACACGCACACACACATTGCTACTGCAATTAAACAAAAGTTTCGACAGATAAAAAATGCACACACACACACACACACACCCACCTTGCCATAGGTTTCAGAGAGGCGGCGAACTTCAGTGGCAATTTCAGATCGGATTGTTTGAGCAATTGCTTTACCATCAATTACGGTAGCCTTATGATCCGACATCGTTTCTCTATGGAAAACAAATACAGTAAAGTGGTGACTAAAATGATTTGTAGCACTCGTATGCCAAGGCTGACAAGAAGGATCCAGGATTAATCAGCCGAAGGCATGTATAAATTTTTTTAAGAAAACTTCGATCTTCTGAGAAAAATTCAAAAAGACAAAAAGGGAGACATAATGAGCCTTACCCTCCATTTGCATATTTAACGCAATACATTAATGTGAAAGATGAAAACAAAAAGATAAGAAAAAGTTCAGACACGTAACTTGCAATTCTTTAAGAGATTAAACTTGTCAACGATGAATTGTGTATCAACTCTGATGGTTATATAGAACTTGAAGTAGGAATGTAACAGCAGCTGAAACTACAAAACCATAAGAAAAAAAGGTCATTATGAATTCACTTCCTTTTTCATTCTGCAAGCACAAAGAAGCATTAAAATGTCAACTATCAAACTTAATGTAAACCAACTGGACCAGGCGCTTTTTTTATTTTAATACTGGGCTGGTACATAGATTTTTTTTTTTAATAATTTTATTTTTTTACCTAAAAATACAAATGGGCTTGGTACAGGCCTGGGCTAAGTAAACAATCCATAGGAAGACAAATAAACTATGACAGCTAGGTAACATGAACAAAGAAGGACAAAGAATACTAAGGACCACAAGTCGTATGACAAACAATAAGCATCACCGAAATTACAAATACTGATATGCTCATACATTCAATCATCTTTAATAATTTTGTTTTGTCTTCTGTAAACTTGTTACTTTGAGCTTAGATATTTTAAGTAATTACTCAAGCAAAGTTCAGAAGTGCATATGAAAAAAGAACAAGAAAAAAGGGCAGTTTTCACCAAGAAACTACTTAAAAACAAAAAGGAAGGTAAAAGAAATCCCACACAATGTAAGAAAGCAGAACCAATTCACAAATTCAAGCCATGAGGAAGAGAAAAAATACAGGGAAAGTGAAAACTTTGCAAAAGAAAATAAAATAAAAACTGTTATAATATAGATACATACACAAAAGTTAAAATTATTAAAGCCATTACTGTACCACAGGTGATTATAGTAAAGTCACTTTTAGTCGGCTACAGCAACTTTAATTAAATTAAATTAAATTTTCAGAAACCAAAAGTTACTTATGTTGTCGTGCTTATTAATTTTTGGACCAGCTTTACAAGTTTATTTTGCAAATTTACATAAAAGAATCTTAATAACTGGATCACCAGTTTCTCGCATGACTTGCTGGAAATTTAGCAAATAAACACTTGTAGATGAAATGCGATATTAAAAACTAGCTAAAACAAAACTAATGATGATCTTTAAATGCTGAAAATGTTGACTCATACATGAAAATGGGCATGACTCTCGATCCCTCATAAACGACTCAAGCATTAAACTCTTAATATTTCTAGCATCTATTGCATTCCACATAGTTTTAACCTGAAATAAAAAATAATAAGAGATCTTTAAACCAACTACAGGGAAACACATAACTACAACCGATGAGTAAAATTATTCAGATTAACAAAAAGTACAAATTTTTATTTCAATGGGAATAGAACCAGTAATAATAAACCATAAACTGCAATCGAAACCCAAACCTAAAAATACAATTTCAGAAAACCAGATCCCAATTCATTTCAAAGAATACCCAATTCAAAACCCTCAATTATTAACAAAGTCATCAAACCTTGCAGCTAGAAATCTTGAATTAGAGCTCAATGTCCTTCTGACCCACAAGCTTATCGTCCAAAGTAACCTGCAGTGGAGCTGTTGGTGGGGAATAAGCGATTTTGATTTTCAGGCTGAGAAAGAGTCGAAATCGTCTGGTGGACCGTCCCTGGGAGTGAGCACTGGGATATTTTTCTTAATTTTTAGTGGGCTTGGTTTCTTTGGGCTATATCTATTCTAATTGTTCTGGGCCAAATTGGGATTATCCCTTTTGGACAGATTTCACAAATGCACTACCAACAAACCATTTTTTTAAATTTTCATTCTCGATTCTACAAAAATTTTTACGAAACTTTTCATTTGCTTCTCTTCGATGGAAGTTTGATTTTTCCTGAATGAAGAGATCATTTTTTATTTTGTGCTGAATCAATTTATAAATCACAAAATGAGACAAATAAAACCAAAGGGCATTAAAAGTGTTGGTAATTATTTTTTATTGCAAAAATATCATTTTATTTTTTATTGCAAAAATAACCACATGTTTATTTATTTTTAATTTTACACATTTTTGGTTAAACTAGATCTCAAGAATATAAAAAGGGGTGAAGGGTTTCTTCTCAAACATTTAATTATATGTTGTAACAAACAGTATTCAATAACACAATTCAAATATTTTCTTCTTTTCATTTCTTCCTCATAACATTCTTTTGGATATTGATACATAGTATGGTTTCGTAACATGCACAGGATTTTTCTTGTTTACGTTTAGTTCTTGATCATTCTGTTGTTCAAGAACATTAAACTAAACCATTAACAAGCCTAAGAATGGCTCCAAGATCCCAAAAACATTATAGTCCTCATGGGATCTTCTGTACCAGATCTCTTGTTTCTTCTTTCCATTTCTTGGGAAACCGAAACCCTCCCTAATCTATTATAACTTTTAGGCTTTGCAGTCATGGCTACAATAGTGTTCTCACGTACTTCCTTTAGCATTTCTCCCAGACGACGTTTAGACTCGTGGAAAAAAGAGCCGTCTTCGGGTAGATTTTGAGGCTTCATCTTCGAAAAATTTGATGGATAGAGTAAGATGTTGAAGCTTGAAAGTTATCCTCCTTGAAATTTATAGGATTTTGGGAGTGGACAGATGAGAATAAATTATGAGGCACAACAAAGTGCTAGGTTATATTCTTGCCACTTGTGGATCATTAATATTTGCTTGATAGTATGGTTGATTTGATGGCAATATTCTTCCTCTTTTTTTTTTTTTTTAATGGCAATATTCTTATTCCACTTATAAGTGGATGAAGTTTGCTTAGTACAGCTGATTGATGTCAATATTCTTGCAATTTTCTCATATAAATTCATTTTTTGGGGAATAAGTAAAAAGGACGACCCAAGGGATAAGAACATATATGTGTCATGTATAGATTTAAAGACTCTTACTTGTAGACATGACATGATGTTAAGAGTATAATTATTTTGAATCTTTTATACTTTGGTAAATGTATTATTGAATGGTACGAAGTAATAAAATGAATTCAAACAATCGAGTAAATTTATCATGAACAAGACTTTTATTTTATTTTTTTAATGTGATTGATGTAATTGTTCAATCTAATATTCTAACATATTGATTGTATGTGCAAACATCTTGTGTTTATTCTTGTTCGCCATCACTTCATATTTTTATTCTTTGATACAAATTAATTTGTGTGTTCCTTTTTAATTTTCAAAAGGCGTTTATACATTTGTTTAATTAGAATAAATTATTGACTTGTATTAATTCTTATTTAGGTGATCATGGTATCTTATAAATACATATGGGAACTTGGATAAGACCTTGGATGCTCCCAACAGAATAGTTTGGAGCACAAAGGAATCAATCCTACCAAAGAATATTATCTGTGTACTGAAAAACGAATATTATAAGATTTGGCAATTTTGCCTGGGAATAATATGAAAGATTTTAATCCAATTTTGAATGGAACTAATAATCCAAAATACAATACTTTCACATAATTGATCCATGTTGAAATCAAAGAGAACATAATGAAAGCGGAAGCGTACCTTGATCCATAAATTGTAGATTTTGTTCGGGTTATGATCTTTCAACTGCTACGTGATTTCCTTTGAAAATCTTGAAAAACTCTCTGTTGATGGGGATACAGAAAATCTGGAAAAAATTTTCCGTACAGTTGGGGACTATGACCCCATGATAAACAACTGTAGGCAGTTATCATCTTCTATTTGTTTTAAATTGGCCCCTCGTTAATCTAAAACAACCACCCCGTCTTTACACTTTAATCCCATAACACTTAATACCCATAAGTACAAAATTAAATCCGATAGATCACTTTAATGGATTAAAACTTTAAGATAGCAACATACATTTTAATTTATATACATGTGTGGCCCTATATATGTTGGAATTTTCCAACATAATATTTACTCAATTAATATTTGAACTAACTATTTTCGTGATCAAATAATCTACAATAAATAACATGTGTGGCTAAAGAAAAAAATCGGTGCATGCATTTTTGGAGGCATTTCCTTATATCAATACATTTTTGACGAATTTTATCATAAATAGCCAACGGTTTTAATCCAATCACACATGGCAAACTAAAATAGTAAATTAATACTCAATAAAACTTATACCAATAAGGTGGCCAAATATACTTTCTTTGTTAGAAAATTTCATTGAGAAAAATCATACTTCAACATATATATACAAATTAATTAAAGTGTAAGTACCATAAAAACGCTTTGATCATAAAAAAAGTATACAAATTGAGAAAATACTATAAATAAGGTGGGTAAACGTTTAAAAAAAAAATTAATTAAAAGAATACAAATTGATTGAAGTATAAATACCATAAATACTTTTTAATCATCAAAAAATACTTACTGAGAAACATAATGCTTCAGTTCCCAAAAATACAAAAGAAATTTAAAAATAAAATGACCTCTCGAATATATGATGATTAAAATTCTATTTGCAATAAAATTTCTTATAATATTAAATCATTTTCAAGTACGATATTTAATAACTCGACAATATAGGTACGTCTAGTGCACGATATAGAATTAAAGGGCAATGGCGACATACGGTTTACACTTTGCAAAAATCTGTCAAAATATTCTTACGAGTGTTCATATAATGTTGTTGGCACTTTTGTGCTTGTTGATGCGTAGAACAATTCCATATTGGATTAACCTTAATCTCGTCCACGTGTCAATGTTTTTGTAGTGCTTAATTGTTTGTAGGACCTATAAATTTCTTCTCTTCTCTAACTTATATGTGTAATGGAGATTTTTGTTTATGAAAATTCAATTACAAGAAAAAGTAAATGCAATAGAAATGATTTTCTTTATGGAATTAAAGCAAACATTTTTGTTCATTCAAAACTCCGTTTGTTGCATTTCTTGTTTCATTCATGAGCTCATACATGGACCCATATGGATTAAGAAATTTTAATTTATGAAACATTAATTAGTTTGAGGAAGAACTTGATGAATTAATTCTTATTTAGGTATCTTATAAATACATATGGGAACTTGGATATGACCTTGGATGCTCCCAACAGAATAGTTTGGAGCACAAAGGAATCAATCCTACCAAAGAATATTATCTGTGTACTGAAAAACGAATATTATAAGATTTGGCAATTTTGCCTGGGAATAATATGAAAGATTTTAATCCAATTTTGAATGGAACTAATAATCCAAAATACAATACTTTCACATAATTGATCCATGTTGAAATCAAAGAGAACATAATGAAAGCGGAAGCGTACCTTGATCCATAAATTGTAATTGATTTTGTTCGGGTTATGATCTTTCAACTGCTACGTGATTTCCTTTGAAAATCTTGAAAAACTCTCTGTTGATGGGGATACAGAAAATCTGGAAAAAATTTTCCGTACAGTTGGGGACTATGACCCCATGATAAACAACTGTAGGCAGTTATCATCTTCTATTTGTTTTAAATTGGCCCCTCGTTAATCTAAAACAACCACCCCGTCTTTACACTTTAATCCCATAACACTTAATACCCATAAGTACAAAATTAAATCCGATAGATCACTTTAATGGATTAAAACTTTAAGATAGCAACATACATTTTAATTTATATACATGTGTGGCCCTATATATGTTGGAATTTTCCAACATAATATTTACTCAATTAATATTTGAACTAAATATTTTCGTGATCAAATAATCTACAATAAATAACATGTGTGGCTAAAGAAAAAAATCGGTGCATGCATTTTTGGAGGCATTTCCTTATATCAATACATTTTTGACGAATTTTATCATAATTAGCCAACGTTTTAATCCAATCACCCATGGCAAACCAAAAGAGCAAATTAATACTCAATAAAACGTATACCAATAAGGTGGCCAAATATACTACAAATTGATTATAGTTTCTTTGTTAGAAATTTTCATTGAGAAAAATCATACTTCAACATATATATACAAATTGATTAAAGTGTAAGTACCATAAAAAAGCTTTGATCATTAAAAAAAAGTATACAAATTGAGAAAATACTATAAATAAGGTGGGGAAACGTTTAAAAACGAAAAGAAAATTAATGAAAAGAATAAAAATTGATTGAAGTATAAATACCATAAATACTCTTTAAGCATAAAAAAATACTTACTGAGAAACATAATGCTTCAGTTCCCAAAAATACAAAAGAAATTTAAAAATAAAATGACCACTCGAATATATGATGATTAAAATTCTATTTGCAATAAAATTTCTTATAATATTAAATCATTTTCAAGTACGATATTTAATAACTTGACAATATAGGTAAGTCTAGTGCACGATATAGAATTAAAGGGCAATGGCGACATAAGGTTTACACTTTGCAAAAATCTGTCAAAATATTCTTACGAGTGTTCATTATAATGTTGCTGGCACTTTTGTGCTTGTTGATGCGCAGAACAATTCCATATTGGATTAACCTTAACCTCGTCCACGTGTCAATGTTTTTGTAGTGCTTAATTGTTTGTAGGACCTATAAATTTCTTCTCTTCTCTAACTTATATGTGTAATGGAGATTTTTGTTTATGAAAATTCAATTACAAGAAAAAGTAAATGCAATAGAAATGATTTTCTTTAGGGAATTAAAGCAAACATTTTTGTTCATTCAAAACTCCGTTTGTTGCATTTCTTGTTTCATTCATGAGCTCATACATGGACCCATATGGATTAAGAAATTTTAATTTATGAAACATTAATTAGTTTGAGGAAGAACTTGATAATCTTTCTTGATTTTGGAGTGATGGTGGAATTATATTTAAGATTTGCTTAATCATGACAACCCTCATCATGATTTTCTCATCTTTGAGTTTACCTTTTTAAGAAAAAATTCAACACAACTTAAGTTCTTCGAATTTTGACTTGATAATTTTCCATTAATAAACAAGTATGCTAATAACTTCGAGCAATGTCACTGAGTAGATTGGAGAACTAGTTTCTATACATTTTGCTTTAAGTGGCGACTCGATCGGAATAATACAAATGTACTCTACGAAAAGCATAAAAAAAAAAAAAATGAAAATAAGCCATTGATGTTCTCGTTAAGGGTAGCTCTCATATTGTTTAAATATAAAAATAATAATTTATATGGTCACTTTACTTCTAATAAGATTGATCTAACAAGATGGAGCCTTAAGAGTCAATATAGCAACTGTTTGACACTCTTTGAAAAAAACAATTTATTTCTCATACTCATTTTCAATCACACATTCATATGATAAAATATTTTGTACGTAAATCCACATTTTTCTTTCAATTTTTTAACCATATATTCAAAAAATCAAAAACACTATTTCTACACAGTGCATATAACCTAAAGCACTACCAGTACTAGGTGGAGGTGCTGTACTGTAACTCAGCCCATATTCTGGAAAAGCATAGTAAGCCTGTGAATATGTAAGAATACCATGATGTGGAGGACTATTATTCGCTTTATAAACAGGTGGACTCATGATTTTGGCGGGTGGAAAAGATTAACTGCTTGCAGGTGCAGGTGCACCATTTGCACCGTCAGCATTGAAGAACATACACATACAAGTTATTGATTGTGTCAAAATTTAATGTGATTGTACTGCTGAATAATATTAACTCGAATTCTACATAAAATTTTGTTAAATCTGATGACCCCGATGTAAGTGAAGATAAAAATAGATTGGATAAAGTAGAAAAGTGTTATAAGAATTTTTATGACAATAAGATGTCTATTTACATGATGGAGATTAGACTTGTTATGTTGTAGATATCTGCTTTGTGCTAATAATGAACTCGTGTAAGATAAACACAACGAAAATGAGAATGTAAGTTAAGATGGATGTGTGATCATGTCAAAATAGATGTATAAGAAATAAGTCGGCAAGTGGAGGTGATGTTAATTGATGATAAATTGAAAGAATGCCAAGTTAAATATTATAGGCATTTTAGACCTAAAGAAACAATACAAATTCATAAGAACGATGCAAACAAAAGAATGAATAACAATATTCTACATTAGAGATTATTTTCAATCTAAATGACACTGAGTCTCTTGATTTTATTGTTCAAGGGAACTATTTCACTTTAAAGTCACGTGGCATATACGTTCTCCCTACTTTTGCTGATTTAAGCATTGAAGGGAGGCAAGGTCATACTTCAACACCTTTATTTTCAAGTACAAAAAAACCTTATTCGGGATTATCCCCCATCTTATTTTAGAAATCTGTCTAGTGTCGTCTTAGTTACAATTTTTGGTATCACAATGAATGAAACAAACTACTGGAATTTCTGGACAAATGTCACAAATTGCGGAATGCACGAGCCTGCAACTGCAGTACTCACTCCTGTGCCCCTATTTGGTGGGGATGAAAATAAGATGTTTAGAATATTTTGATAAAAGTTCACGAAATATATGATTGAAAAGTTGTGGACCCTATAAAATATGTGGTTAAAACTAATTATTTGAAATTTAGATTTTATTCCCTACTAAACGGGGCTATATATATAATATAAGACGTACAATTCTAAAATGGAAACATAAACTTCAGAAGGAGTTTATTTTATACAACTTGCAAGACATGTCAAAATACATAAAAAGAAGACTTTTGCTTTAGAATTATTAAAAGGATATCCAGTCCTCTAAAGGAACCTTTACATTATCCCAACTTTCCCTAAGCTTGTATGAAATAACTATGAAGGTGAGAATGAGGTAAGATAACATTTTGAAATTTCAATTTCCTCATTCTTATCTCCACTGATGAATAAAAGCATCGAAGAAGAAGGAAGCAAAATTTGTCTAAAGAAAATATGTTACAAGCATATCTCAATTCGATATATTTGTAAATTATTTTTCCTACCCTAACCAAAAGTTATACTGCTAAACCACAAAGAAACCACAAGTGATGGATGATTGATTGCAAAGTGGGGTTGTGTGAATTTCATCCTTACATGGAAAATATTGAAGTAGAGAAGGGAAAATTGATTTTCCTCTAATATCCTTCCATTTTCCCACTCGATTCAACTTCGAAAGTCGTCTTGAAAAAATTAGAGTCAACCATGATGTTAACGCGGATTAATATTATTTCATAGGCATAGGCCGATGAATGAAATAAGTCTAACAACTAAGTCCATGAGTTACACTCGGCCCAATTATATTCCCTTTTGGATGACTTGAATCTTGGCTTGTTTACCCATTCAATGATCAACTAAAGCCTAACCCTAGAGTATACATATGGATATAACCCTAACCACTTTCTTGTAATGTTTTGAGAGAAAAATAGAGGAATCTCGACTGCCCTCTTTGGTGTGTGAAAAATAGCCTCTAGAATATTCAAAACACTTCTTTATCGTGTGTAATTGATGGTTCCTTCATATTATATCTTTGTGGTGTCTTCTCCTAACCTTTGTGACCACAAATCATCATCTTTTCCTGTCCTATGTGAGTAAGATTAAATAACAACCGAGGCGAATTAGATTTTTTGTGGTTTGAAGCCGATTGAATTGACCGTTGGTTGAGAAATATACGTTGAACTGAGCCCGAAAATCACTGATTTGAAGATATTTCAAGAGAGTTTTCGCAACATTTGGTATCATGGCTTCAAGGTGGTGGTTTTGGCTCTTGCACTATAGCAAAAAGCCATCTAGAAATATTGGGCCTCTTTCACCCTAAAAGCTAACTCAAGAGGTGAGGTTATCCCTCACACTCATAAATTGAATACCAACCCCATTTACAACCGATATGAGACAACCTCAACATGAAGATTGAATAATTTTTGGGCACAGACTTGAAATTTTCTATTGTTTTCTGCATGTAATTGACTTAAGGAAAATAGAGCCTAGGTCATCAATCCTGTGACAAACCTGTGTGATAGTTGTGACAGAATAACGTATTTCTATGTAAGAAAAAGTCGACTTGAGCAATCGTGACATATCTCAGTAGAAATAAATAGAGATGATAAACCAAAGTTAATGTAGTCTATTATTTTGAGTTCTAGAATAATTGTAATTTCTTATAGATATAATAATGAATTGATACATATATGATCAAGCAATCTTCTTTATAACAATAAAAATTGATTGACGCCTTCTACACGACAGGGCCTCCTGATTATAATTGTTCAAATTGATTGGTCATTTTCAATAATGCTCCTCAAATAGAGCAAACCGGGCGGGGGGGAGTTGACATGGCAGGATTGGTTGTTGTACTTCTTTCTTTTTCCTTTTTATTTTTAAATTGTCGAATTATGTATTGACATGTGTTCTTCGTGTCATTAACTCCGTTGTTGAGTCTGTCACTGTAGCAAGATTGAATTTTACATCCGATCCATCCAATCTTATTTATATTAGAAATGCACAACCAAAGGAGTTGACCATCACTGTAAAATACGAACCATTTCCACTTCTTATCAGACACACACACAAACAGACACGGACAGACGCTCGAAATCCCATAAACCAAAGAACATTGAAGAGAAACAGGTTAATTTCACGAACATAATCAATGGCTTGCAATGCAAATTCCATCAAAACTTCATTGCTGCAACAATCTTTTTCCAAGCGGGCCTGGCCAGAATATCGGCGCACCATGCACTAACATGCGGACGCGAATCGAAAAGGGCTTTAAGTTTTGTGTCCATCAGGAAGTTGATAACTGCCGAGTGATGCAAATCAGCTAATGTGAAGGAATCCCCGCCCAAATACTTGGATTGCGCGAGGTGCAATTCGTAAATGTCGAGAACTTCTGTCAATTTGGCTTCAAGCTGCAAGACAACGGATTCTTCCTCCTTAGTCTCGCCACTTATCGGCTTGATCACGAGCTCATAGGCTAGTTTGTAGGCTGGAGGATAAAAACAATGGGCTTCAACTTCTATCCACTGTGAAATGATTGCCATTTTCTTCGGATCATTGGTTATCAGTGGGGTTCCCTTGTCCGCATACGTGTGTGCAAGGTATTGAGTGATTGCCCTTGATTCTGCAATTTAAGCTTTCATCTGTTAAAGGAAAACTTCTGAACAAAAGCATGTCTAAAGATTACACCCCGATTATAAACGGGGTGGCAAAAACCATTTAAACTTTACGACTTCTCATGTGTAACAAATCAAACTATCGAGAGAAAAATGAAAATTGATGTACCAAAGAGGTTTAAATCTCCATCTTCAAAGAACGGCACTTGACCAAAGGGCTACAAAAATCAGAAAATAACAGCTCAGTAAATAGAGAATTCAAGGAAAGTGGAAGAAAAATGTTTGAGAGTTCATAGTTATGACACAATATGCTTACATTGAGTGAAAGAAAAGCCTTTGACTTTTGCTGATCAGTTGCTAAATCAATAAGAATAAACTCATAATCAAGTTCTTTCTCTGCTAGGGTTGCAAGAACTCTGTGTGTTGATGTAGATAGAGGGTGCCCATGGACCTTGATTGCCATCACTACAGATGCTCAAGGGAACAAGAAGGATAAGGTACTCTACTGCAATTATTTGATGAATATGAATGAAGATATATGAGAGTATTTATAGTAATAAAGTACCCCCTCGCCCGCCCGGCCGGGGGAACCCGGGCCGCGAATGATCTACTAATTCAACAGATTTTGTTGGCATCTCGAGGTAATCTTGATTAATATTGAATAAAGAAGTAGCACTTTGTGTTGGAAAAAATGAATAAATGACTTACTTTTGGCAAGATTTTTAACGGGATCCGTTGGTCAAATTTGGAAGATCAAAGTTGATCCTTGTTCTCCTTCGCGAGAGCATCGAAACCATTTATTTATTTACCAAAGAAATAAATCTAGTCCCACATAGGAAAATGAAGAAAGTATTGACCACTTTATATAGGAGTACACATTGGAATGGTGTAATCATGTGTAACATAAAGGCTTTCTCCACGTACACTCACAGGAGGGTACAAATTATGAATCGAAATTGCCTTCGGACTATGAACTTGTATGCGAGCGCGACTTGTGTATACGGATGTCGGACCGAACGGAGCAAAAATTGACCCGTTTAGAGTGTCCACATTTTGCTAGTTTTTGCTTTCTTCCACTGACTTTTGAGTTTTCAAAAAACTGCCAAAACTCCCTAGAAATTGAAGTAACACTAGCGTTTATTGCTATGAAGTTAACAAACATATTTAATCTTATATATATAAGTCTCATTTTTCAGCAATTCTATCCACGAGAATACTGCATACACACGAAATATGTTAAATTAGTGTTGTTTGCATATATAATCTGTTGCATTTTCAGCATCGTCTTGGTGGTGATATTGTTCGATACAAACTCAGTTCGTTGGAGTAGTTTCTGCAACTCTTGGATTCTACTGTTACCGTTGTATCCTGAGAAACAGACACTTAGATTAATTCTCAAGCACTTACGGTGAGGGAGCGAATCTATTTTAATGAAAATGTGCTTGCACAGTCCTCGAGTTGAAATTCTATTTATCTTCTGCAATTTACATATTTGTAATTTATTCTTACAATTATTTATTTATTTAGAGATTTATACTTTGTAATTTACTAGATTCATATATTTTACAGTTTACCTATTTTATATTAACGTTAAAGATAAAAGTAGAAAAAAAATATATCTGAATTTTCTTGCTAACAGTTGGTAAATGCAATTCGGTAAATGTATATTACATATACGATATTTCTATGTGTAAGTGAAAATGCGGTATGTGAAAATACGGTATATTATATACGAAAAGGGTAAAGAAAATATGTGCAAATATGGTTAAAAACATATATAATAGGCTGTATATACAGTAAGCTGTCTGCAAATACGGTAAGCTGCATATACAATATACTTAAAATCGATATCTAAACTACATATATGATATGTGATAATCTGGTTTCATTAACACCACTATATTTCAATACTTTGTACTAAAGGTGTCTTAAAATTTTTAATGTGAAGGTGCCTAGTTTGGTTGATGGAGTCTTTATATTTAGAGTACTGAGCTGTCCTTTTTTCCTTGTTCTAGGAGTCCACTAAATTAACAATGTTTTTTCATCTCTAAAGGGCGTGTTTTATGTGGTTGTCAAAATAATTACCTCAACAAATTTTGTATATAGAAGTTCATGCATTACATAAATGATTATGTAGAGACTTGAGGGACTATTATTACACCTCGCATCGAAGCTCCAATTGAAGATCACATCATAGTCCAAGTGAAGCGTGGAGAGGAGAGTCAAAATTTGACTAAGTCAACAATCAGTTAAAACAGAAGTGAAGTCAGAGAAGAAGCCGATCCTCTCTCCATCCGAAGCTCCTTTTGGTTGAAGCCCTTTCTCTATCCGAAGCTTTCTTTGGCTGAAACCCTTGCTCTTTCTTAAAGGATCTATAAGGAATCTTTAAAAAATGATTGATATAATGTTTGTAATAATGAATTTCTGAAATGTCAGCTTAGAATATGGGGTGACTGACCCGTTGTCAATGTATTAAATGCGTAGCAAATTGAGTGATGTTAGACCTCGGCTTGGGAGATGAGTCCACATGGTTTCTATCCAGTGATAATCACCTCGCCTAGAATCTATAAATAAGCAACTTTTGTTTTTCACGCAACTACATACACTCAAAACCTCGCTCAACCTCCTCTCTTGTTTATTTTCATATTCATTTGTTTAATGCTTAGTTTGTTTTCATTTTGGTCGACTTGTTTATGATGGTTTGTTTGTATGCAATCATCTCTGATCATATCATTGGTGTTAGAACATTTTTGTCTAGTGTCGTAAAGCATCTCTCATGTTCATAAACGTCGTCCATTTTTGCCCAGATCCCTAATCAAAACATGTTGAAATTTGTACGTGTGGATGTGAGTCGACCCGATATCTGTTGTCCACATAATCATTACAAAAGACGGGGCCAACACATGACATTGGACAAGATTGGACAATAATATTACTGACGAATAAGAAGTTTAAACTTTGTTTATTTATATTATCCAATCGGATTTAAAATGGTAAAAAATGTGCCTACTCAAGGATCCTGAGCCTTTCAAGATTTATATTTAAAGAAGCATGATCCGACCATGGACCGTCGTAGGAGCAAATTCTCGGATATTATTTGGAATATTACACATGCTAGGATTAATGGATTTTCTAGATGGGGTTTTAGTCAACTCTATTATATTTAGACTAAGCCAATTTTTGTTAAAGATTTTAAGAGAACATTGCCCATCCATATTAATGATCAGGCATAATTTATTTGTTAAAATTATGTTGTTGTTGTTATTATTATTATTTTTTTTGTCTCAATTATATCGATTTTTTTGAGCATTCAATTGTTTGTGATCATTCAATAGAAGAGTATTATTTTTTTATTTCAATACTTGTTAACTATTATGATGTAAATGGTTGAATAAAATGTTGTACATTGGGGAAAAAACAGAGCATTGTTCTCTCTAAAGGTTTATTTGGCTCATTTTTTATGAAAATCATTTTTCATACTCATATTTAACTATACAATTTTTTTCATAAAATAATTTTATATGTGCCATAACTTTTTCTTCACTTCAAATAATCCCTTCCAAACATACACTAAATCCCTCCACTGTGCCAATTCAACTTTGGAAGACATTCCAATAAAGTTAGAATCGATGTGAATTTTGCTCCTCGCTCTTGATGTTCCATCACTACATTGGTAAAATAAGCAAAGATATAATGAGAGCAGGACAAAGGAGAGGAAGAGGATAAGATTTGAGGAATTAATATTTACTAACTCATAGCAGCTTAGACAACATCAATTTTTATTTTATTTTATTTATTTATTTATTATTATTTTTTTATTTTTAAATGAAAAGGTTGCTGAGTTTCTAAAGTTGACATTTTAACCTTTCCATTCAGATTAGGTACTGGATGACTTCAGCACTTGTTTAATTTTCTACCTGTTATTGACTTGGAAAAATACGACCAAGTCGTCGAGCCTAAGCCATAATTTTTTATGGTAGGACCAACCTTCACGAGGCACCTTAATAAATACATATATAGTATATAATCATGCATTGATGCATATATAAATAAAATTTTCAAGAAAATGATGGCTCAAGTTATTCGGGTGTATTTTGCATAAAACTAGATATCAGATTCATGCGAACTAAAATTAATTTAATTTGTTGTGATTTCTTATCAACTTAACAATTAATGAATAGAATATTATGGTGAAAACGGATTCATGTAATGAACTCATCTTTCGAGTTAGGGAATCAAAATTAGTTTGTGATTGCAGTAAACTTTTGGAAATCTTGATATCATTTGGACCCAAGATTGGTGCTTCTTCCCTTCCACTTTGTGCCCTATACCTCGGATCGGGGAAGTTCCAGGAAAGTCACCAGACGAAGTTGTTTCAATTTACATACTATCAAAGCTTTCTTCTATCGAAATTATTACCATCATATAGAATTTCTCTCAACAAAACTCGTCTAAATATTGTAGAAAAAATAATATCGTAAACTTTTTTCACATTACCAATTTCTACTCTTTGCACAGCCCACATTAAAAACAAGAAAAAATTTAATGGTTAATAATTTTTTTCTTCAAAAAAACTCCCTTAAATCACATACATAGAAGAGAAAGGCTACGTGAATTTATAATCAACATAAACAAACATATTACTATTTTGCTCCAAGGAAAACCGTAATTGGAATCTTTTCAATTTTTGTGATCAATATAATAACATATACATTGAAATCTTTTGCACCAAATTTTGTAATAAGACATGAGAGAAATTCTTTCTCACTTAATTTCCTTCCAAATTTGCAATTTGAGAAATTATTTTATTTTTGGCACTTTCGAAGCAAAATCCCAACATATTATTGCTGGAATTAAAGTTAAAGGGCGCTATAAAAACTGTTGAGCCCTGAAAAAAAAAAAAACTAAAGTGGAATAGTTTAACTTTAGTTTTATATTTATTATTTTTGTCAAATAATTATATTTTGATAGATAGAGATTTAGTATATCAATATTGGACTCATTTTGTAGGTCGTAATTAATTAGAAGTTTTTGACTCGAGAAAAAATATTTTGGATAAGAACACATTAAGCTAAACCCAATTGAAAGAAAATAGGATAGATAAAATTTTATATAAGTTATAAATCAATTCATTTTCTCTCTCTCCGTGTGAGATGTATTGAATTTTAATTTTATTTTTAAGTTTAATATTAATCCTAATTTCATTTTAAACTAGTGCATATCTAAATTATTTGTGGAGCATGGCTTTTCAATTTTAGCAGTATCAAAACTCTATTTACGATTAATCAAGATAATTAGCAAATAATTATAATATTTTATAATCACACTTATCTTTATAACAGTTAGAAGACCCAAACCAATATGATTCCTTGGTTACTTTAATTTAAGGTGCAAACTAAAGTCTTAGAATAATTAGGCGCAAATTTTAATGGATAAAGTCTACCCAGCAGCTTTTTGGTTTAATAATAGATAATAAATGATTTCTTTGCTAAAATCTTATGAGAAGTTTGAAAAGTCTTGGTGTCCCATTCATATGTAGTGATGGCAATTTATCCTGCCCCACCCCGAATGGGGCAAAAAAACCCACCCTGTTGCGGGACGTGGGGCGGGGCCCCGCCCCGTGAATTTTTTTTTTTTTTAGAGTTCATCATCCTCGCCTCGCCTCGCCTCGCCCCGAACCCGCCCCGTGATTTTTTTTTTTGTTAGAATTCATCTATGCAATATATTTTAAAATCGCTTTTTATTTAAACTTATTTTCTATCCCAATTTTTTTAATAATATAATTTACATGTAGACCTATCATTTTTTCATACTTTTTATTCACACATTCTCTAAAAATCATTTTACACTATAAGTAATTTTATCCCAAAACAAAAACTTAAATTTACATAAAGTAAGGGCATTCTTTATTAAAAGTTCAACTTAAATGTTATCCGTATTTTATTAAACTCGGAATTAAAAAAAAAATTAAACGGGGCAAGAAACGAGGCAAGAAAATTGCCCCGCCCCGCCCTGTCGAAGGCGGGGCGGGGTGTGGGGTGGGAGAGGTGGGGAACGCCCTGCCCCGAACCCGCCCCGTTGCCATCACTACTCACATGAACACTCCTAGTATTTTATATATATCTCCCGTGTGCATGCATGAAATAACAAATCAATTATGATTAAGTCAAATCTTGGTGCATATACCCCCTTTCTCTCTCATGTTATTTGTTTGAGATAAAAACAAAAAGGGTAGTGTAAATCAAATAAATCTTTTGATTGAGATAGTACTTATCTTTTACTCGAACCACCTCTATATAAGGCTCACGTATTCTAAGCAAAATACCCATAGAAGATTCAGAAAGCTTTTACCTAAAGAAAATAAATAGTCAAGTCAGAGAGAAGAAAACATTAAAAGGGGTTTTAATGTGCATTTTTTTGGTCCATTACAACTTTTCAGGTCAACGAAGTAAGATACTTTAAGTGTAAGTGTTTTTATTTCTTTATGCGTTTATATTCAATTAAAAATGCATGGATTGTCAGTAGACATTCATTTTTTTTAAGGAGATATGAAATTCTACGAGATTATAAGAGGACCTAAGATGGGTGAGTCACTTGGTCACCGATATACTCTATAAGATCAGATGGTATGAAGTATAATTTTTATTGTTATATATCTGTATATGAAAACTGTACGTATCTTACTGGGTGTTTTCGAATACTCACTCTTACAAATTTTTACAGGGTGGTTTGGGTCGATTGGAATTGTGGAAGGGCGGTGATGTGGACTACCAAGTGGATCGTAGTAACAAAGAATAAATTTTTCATTAAATTTTTCTACCTTTATAATTATTTGTTAATTTTAAGACATGTTTAGTGTTATTTACTAGATACAATTGCAGTTATTATGTATTAAAGACTTTTATTTTGATCTTTTTGCATGTAAGGTAAAGAAAAATGAATTTTTGATAACGTTTCGGTGTTATGAAAATTTGGAGCGTTACAAAAACAATGTGCGAGAGAGCAAGTACAACAATTAGTTTGAAAGCTCGAATAAATTACCAAGAGGGCTCACCGGTGCAAAGCAATTGTCTCATTTCAATAACTAAATACTAATCAATAATCGTTTTGTACTTTGACGTGGACATATGAACGTTTTAGTTTAAATGTCCAAGGGCAATGGAATTGAACAAGCCGCCCCAGGTCGTTGGAAAGTCTTGCCATTTCCCATAAAGAATTGACAATTTGTCATTCAATCCCTGTGCTTCAACCAATGATTCAATGGATATATTGAACTTAAAAACTATATAAGAATGTTTCATTTGATCATGTTCTCTAATCCACTCGATATAGATATGGGTAAAAAACTAAGAATCACATTTGTTGTCACTAATAATTTACTACGCACTACATCAACATGGCACATAAATAATTAAAGCTAGTTGGTTTATATCCAAAAATCAGCCAATTTTACAACTATGCACTACATGGAATATGCATATGTTCACGAAATAATTCTTTCGATTTAAAACTACCGCAAGTGTACGGATCGTAACAAGTAATAAAGTGAATTTTTAAAAGTCCGAATATCGTCCCACATAGATTGAGTAGTTCAATTCTATATAATCTAGCTTTCACCGAATCTAATTGAGTGAAAATATGGTTCAAATGCAAAAAGCCATAATTTCAATTAAAAAGCCCAATTTCTCAATTAGAAACCCTAATCTCGAAATTTCTCTATTTAAACGACTCAAACACTCAAGTAAATGAAATTATGTAAATTCAAAAGCTAATTTATGGAAATGAATCAAAATAAAGTCACTAGGATCACGAATTCTCAATTGAAGTTATAAAAACCCTAATTTCATAAAATCAATGACCAGATGGAAATTTGCCAATTCAATGTTCCTAAATCTATCCAACATATTCTCTCGATATATATTAGACTTATTCTTGCACACCACCAGCCTATATCTCTATGGATGATGCAAATATACAAGAATGCACGTGATTTTGTAAACAATTAGAGAATTGCATAAAGTATAGGGGTATATCTCTATCCTCTATCAGACCCTATGTTGATTTACACCTTATCGAACCTATTCCACTTCTCTCGAATATAAAAAATAAGTCATCAATACTCACACAATCATTGGCCGCTAATTGTGGAAGAAAATCAATGCATATAAACCAATCAAATTATCCAAACGAGTCTTTATATTAAATTCATGAAATATGGAATTAAAATAACAAACAATAGTTCATCGACCACCTAGTGAATTGAAAACCTAGCCTAGAATATTCATAATTACAGAATAAAAAAAACGAAATTAATAAATTGAAAGAATAGCACCCGTATGAAAATTTCTTGAAATCTCGAATAAAGCCTTGAAAACTCGCTTGAATTCTTGTGGAATCGGCTTCAAGATCGCGTTTCTTGCCTCCAAAAGTTGTAATTTTCTTCTCCCTGGACGTTCTACCCCATTTCTGATGAATTTTGGCTTTTATATCATGTTCTCACCGAATCCCGAAAGAGTTTCAATTTAAAACACAAGTTCAGAATTTTTGTTGGTCTTTATAGCCATGTGGCCGCATGGTTCAAGTGAACTGCCTCAATGAAATCCCTGCAACCTTATGTGCGGCCGCATGACACAGTTTTGTGCGGCCGCATTGTTGTAACTTTCAACCTTGCTGTTTTGGTCCCTGAACTTCGTTTTCTCTTTTCTTGATCTCTTTTCTTTCTTTCCTTTATTCCATCATCAAATATTGACTCCTAATTGACGTTTGAGTCAATCAATTCCTTGATCGCTTGCTCGGCTCATCTTTTGATTAATTGCAATTTAGTCCTTCATCTTTCACTTTTCTTCAATTCAGTCCAATATTACTTCTTTCTTCCTCCGATTGTCTTGTATCGTCCTCAATCTCATACTTGGCATATTTTCATTCTCGTTCTGCACTTTAGCTCAACTTTCCAATATTTGCACCTTTGGTCCCAGAACTATCGCTTTATTTCGTTTTGGTCCTTTTTCGGCTCTTTTCTTCTGAATTTCATCTTTTCCATAGAAACACCTACATTTCATGAATTTAACAAGATTAAGTCACAATTCAACTACTTTTTCCGTGTTTAAGTCATGTTTGTGAGCTAAATAAGTGTGTAAAAATACATTTATCAAATCTCCAAAACTTAAACTATTGTTTGTCTTCAAACAATGTAGTGACTTAATACTAAACAAACATGGCTTAATAGCTTGTCGTGTCTCAGGATTGGACTTAGTAATAATAATAGAAACAATATCAAAAGTGTGAGAATTGAATCAACCTTTACTCATCAAATGCAATACTCAACGTGTGTGTGTGAACTCATGCCAACATATCAAGCTTATGATTAGTTTATTCCCGACCCATAGTGGTCAAATTTATCCTTACGTCACTTGAGAGATACACAACCCCCAAATGTATTCTTTTCACACAATTACTCCGGGGTGTATTCTAAGCTTAGGAGTTTAAACAATTTTAATCCTTACCCTCTCTTAGTTTGGATAGATTTTACCATTACAAATTCACATATCAACAAGTAGAGACTCTCCTTATTTTGATTGCTTCAACCTTTAGGATTAAACTAAGCTACTTGCCTCGCATCAAGGCTATAGTTCTATCACCCAAATGTCCAACAAGGGGGTTTTTTTTTGTCATCTTCTCATTTACTTTCTATATAACCCATGTAACGAGCTTTAGGCAATGACTCCCAAACCAAGTTGGCTTTAGGGCACCAGGTTTTAAATCCTTGCAGTCTTATTCACTCGAGTTATAAAGGCTCGATAAGATGACTTTTTATCAATTTCTCCATTTTCTTACTTTCTATATAACCCTTGTAGCGAGCTTTAGGCCGATGACTCCCAAACCAGTTGGCATTAGGGCATTAGGTTTTAAACCCTTACAGACTTACTTGCTCGAATCATAAAGGCTTTTGAGAGAAGTGATGATTTTCAAATTTTTACTTTATGCCCCTTCTTTGTTTTTCTAGACATTTGACTTCCAAAATCATCCTCAACTTAAAGTTTTCACCTATTTCTCACCTTTCGAGTTTAAACAATCCACACAGTATAATTTCATGCACGGAGCCCCCACTTATCTCCATGTTTTCCAACAATGGCTCAACCATCTCCAAACTATCTTAAAGTGATATTACGGGTTAATGTTATAGAGGGTTATTCTAGGTTTCTCCTAATTTATTCTAAAATTTCAATCAATAACTTAACACGTGAAGCATGAGTGACGTGCAAAAGAATGTCAAGCAATGCATCAACAAGTATTAGTAAATTAAATCCTGCACTAAATCCACAGTTTCTAATTTATACATGTCCAATAATCACATCATAGCCGGCAATGCTACCAAACCCACACAAGCATGCAAAAGTTCATCAAGACTCACTCATCAAGCATGCATCATGCAAAAACTTGTCAAAATTAACGATGGATTGTGATTATGCAAAATAATTACATGTCGAATATTTGTTTGAAATTATGCTACTATCCCCCAAACTTATACAATATATTGTCCTCAATGTAAAATGTAAAGTTAAAATGGCAGAATTTAAAATATGGACACAACTTGACAATAAGAGATTAACAAAACTCCCCCGATCAATTCGGTGGCTGTGGTGTGAAGCTGGGACCCGCAGCATCATCTTCAGGAGGAGATGGGAGGCGAGTTAAGAGTTGTCTCAGCAACTCGGACTACTGTGCTTGCTCGGTCTGAATGGCTCGAAGACTACTTTCCATACTTCCCAAACGATCCCAAGTTTCGTTCACACGCCACTGTATGCCATCCATTCTCCTAGCGTACATGTTGAACCTACCATTCATAGTCTCTACTTCCCTTCTTGCAGTTGTGGCTTCATTCATAGCGCCTTTTGTGTAGTCTCGGGAGGAGTAGATGTCTCTCTACACTTTTTCAACAGTCGTGGTCATCGTCTCAAACCTCTGCTGGAGATTTTGTATATCCCTGCTAGTTCCAGTGACGGTGGCAAATATCTGTCGAAGTAGCTGCGAATCCATTTCAGCTGGTTGTGGCGGGGCTTGTGGCAGGTGTATATCTTCAGCTGCTTGTCCTTCTTCCTACGCATTATGTCTTTGCTGCTCAAGTCAATCTTGTTCTCTCTTCCTCACCCTAGCTCGTTCCTGAGCTTCAAATGTTGTGAGCTTTATCAGTGGGTTTAATTTCTCAGACATCTCCCCTGCCTCAACTATAACACCAGCGGCGAGACATATCCCGCTAATCAGACTAGGGAAGATCATTGAATACGCCTATCTCCCCAGTCCCCAAATTCTGTATCTGGTCATAGATAAGAGTAACTAAATCAACTTTGCATCCCCAGACTAAATGATATATGAACCCAGCAGTTTGATCTGTGAAAGTTGTTCGATGCGATGTGGGTTCGATATTAAGGCACATGAAGACCCATAGGATGGCTATGGAGGGAGTAAGCTCAATTTGATGCCACTCTGCAGTGGGTAGGGGCCAAGCATTTTCTCTTCCCAAGAGAACCTCCGCCACTTCATTCCAATTGAATTGAGTGGAAATCGGGACCACATTGTCCAAATTAAGATTGTAGAAGTCATGAATGACGGCTGGGGAGAACATTATCCACTTACCTCGCACCCACGTCTGGTATAAGTGTTCAGAATCCGAAGTCTCAATTTCACTATTGAAGTTTGCATAAAATTCGCACACTATACTTTCATAAATCGGGTATGGCTTTTCTACAATCTTATCCCATCCACAGATTTGTATCAGATTCGTCAACTCAAAACCACGGAAGTCCTCTAACCGGACCTGTCTCTCTGGTATCATGCCCCAATGGCGTATTATGTTCTTGTATCGAGCTAATGTTTCTGCATCTTGGAATCTTCGTACACCTCCTATTAGCTCTCTGGTGCGGGCTGTACCGGAGGAGAAACCAACTTTTTCT